ATATATATATATATTATTATTAATTGGGGATGTAGCTAAATTGGTTTTATAATAGGATCTCCTCAAAAGGGGAGGTGGTGGTGCCGAGCTGTCGGATGTAGGGGAAGGGGAGTACATTTCGATTCGGTTCTTCTGTGTCAAACCAAACAATGCGGTATATTTTTTGGATCCAAATAGTCGTTATTAATTTTAGAAAAAACGAATTTCTTGAAATCGAACCAAACCGAATTTTAAAAATTTGTGAAAAACCGATTTTTTTTAAAAGATCTATTTTTAAATAAAAACTGAAACTAAACCGAATCGGGACCAAAATCGAACCAGAACTGAAAACCGAACATAATATAACAACCGATTGGTATCTATTTTTATAAAATCGAAAAAATCTAATGGAACTATTCTCCACCGAACTAAATATCGAAACGCCACTCCTAATATGGGAGATGGGGGTTGTCGTGATCAGGTTGCTCACGGTCGCGTCGTTTTAGTTCATTTTACACCTCATCGTTCTCCCTCTACCCACTCTCTTTGTCGTTTTCTTTCCCATATATATATACACACATACATGCTCTTATATCCATGTAGATATCGATAGACATGTAAAACAACAATATACAAACTCTATGTTCATTTGGGTTAGAAATTACCAAGGCCGTATTGATCAGTACCCAACAAAACATTATGAGAGAGTGTTTCTCGGTTTGGTTATACAGCTTTGATTTCTGGTTTATTTGATTTGGATTGGTTTTGTCATGTTTTTTAATTTGTAATTCGCCCTCTGTATTTTTCACTATTGTACAAGTACATAATGTTTTTCTTTCATTTTTTTTTTGTCCCATTTGAAAATCGTTTTTTTTTCTATCCACCGAATGATCACTTGGTTGAATGACTTGAGAACAAGAGTTGAAATTAAATTCGAAAAGAATCCATTGATTGAATTTGTTAAGATTGTCGAGAGATAGGCTAATGGTTTAGAACATCCTAGATTTAACACTATTATAACTCCTTAAAAAGCTTTGTTTGGGACCTAGTGAACTCCTTGTTGGTATTTGTGTTCATAATAATTATCTGTTGAACATTATGCATATATTATTTTTTCGTTAAACGGACATTGCAATTTTCAACGGATTTTTCCGTTAAAAAATCGTCGTTGAAAATTACTTTCGAATGAATGCGCGTTGGAATTTTCAACGAATATTTCTGTTGAAAAATTTTCAAAGGATTTTCGAATTGGAATCCATTAGAAATTCTAACAGATTTTTCAACCGCAATCCGCCGGAATTCTAATTTTTTAACGAATTTTTCAACCGAAATCCGTTGAGATATTTCAACAAAAAATTCAAAATATATTCTCGACCCCAAACTCAATCCTATACCCCAACCTGATCTCGAACCTAACTTGATCCCGAATTCAATTATGACCATCAATTCCAACTCAAAATCGAACCAACAATTCTGAAATCGAAACCCAAACTCATTTCCTGATAGATCATCCATCATATTAGTACTAGTATACAAACACACCTCTAGAATTCTAATGGACAAACATTCAACGGATACAAGTTAAACTTTTGATACAATAGAACATTAATATATGTACATATGTAAATATATATATATATATATATATATATGTAAATACTCATATGAATATATAATTATAAATGCTTATACATATATATATATATATGAATATGTATGTACATAAGTGTATATATATATATGCATAACAAATATTTGTACATATAAATAAATATTATACATATTGATACATATCAATGGTTAAACACACACATATATATATATACTTATTCATATATATAGAAATACATGTTTATATATATATATATATTTTGTACGTATATGTGTATTTTTTGGAATAGTATTTTGAAACGAAATCTGTTGAATTTTCGTTGAAAATTTTTCAATCGATATTCCAACCGAAATCCCTTGAAAATTTCAACCGATTTTTTCAACAATGAAATTTCAAACGAAATCTGTTGAACTCGCGTTGGAAATTTTAACCGATTTTTTAAACCAAAATCTGTTGAAAAATTTAACAGATTTTTTCAACCGAAATCGGTTGAAATTTTCAACAAAAATCCGTTAAAAATGCCGTTAGAAATTTTCAACCGAATTTTTCAATTGAAAACCGTTTAATGTTTTTTTTTAAATTTTTTCAACGGTAATCCATTAAAATTTTCAACCGAATTTTAATGAAATTCGTCATTAAAACGCCTTTAAAATTCGATAAAAATATATTATAAAAATTTACAATTGATACATCCATTTGAATAACCCGTTGAAAATCACGTATACCCTAAACTATCGAATTTTTTTCACAGAATAAAAATAACGAAATAATTTTAAAAGCTCTAAAATCATAGCTAATCAAAACTATAAATAGAGGTAAACGAACTTGTAGTTTAGTAATAAAATATGATCACAAATCAAATCATGAGAGGGATGGTTCTTTTCCCCTACGGGATTTTCGTAGTCACAACCAGACAGTGACAGATATGATAATATCGTGATATGTGGAATAAAAATAAAAATCGGAAAAAAGGAAAATATTGAATAAAATCAATTCATGGGAAGACAGAGACATGTGTTAGGAAGGTGTCCCAAGTCCTCCATTTGTAAAAGAAGGTTTTGTGGTCCAAAAATAATCAGACGTCGTGGTTACATGACATGAGGACCTTCTTAATAATGGACCCTAACACAATACACCAATTTTCCATTTTATCTTTTAGTAAAAGAAAATAAAACTATTTATATATTCGTTATAAAATATTCACATTAAAATAACGAATAATAATAATAATTATTGAAAAAAAGCATTGACCAAAATCTATCAAGCTTAAAAGTTGTGCTTGAAGATTTGGGAACAATAGGTTCATTTAACCTCAAGAGAATTATATATATATACATATATATATAAGTGTGTGTGTGTGTTTTTTAAATATTACATTACATTTAGATATTTTAAATAAATTGCAAAGTTCAGAGTTTGTCGAGATTTAATTGTATTTACCAAAATATTTACGCACGTAGTTCTAATCGACAACAAATATCTGTACTTGTAAATTGTTTTTAACAAAAAATGCGCAATGTGTGTACATGCATGATGCCCCTATATATACATGTATATATATATATATATGCTAGTAAAAGAACATGATCATGTCATGTGGTGTGTGCTGCATGGACATGTTGTATAATAATAACGAAAGAGAGATCGACTTCAAAAGGGTGCATGTGTTTTACTCATTTTCATGCAACCAAAAGATACTCTTCTCTGTAATCTCACCATTTTCATGTGCCGTAAAGCTACCACTCCTCTGCAGCTTTTGCCCACACACATATACACAAATATATATACATATATTATTATTATTATTATAAGTTACATTTAGTATCAGATTGAAATCTTTGTGACGTGGGTGTGCTACTACTACTCTACGTAGAAGATCCCTAGAGTAGATTTCCAACGTGAACTTACAGTAACATTATTTTGCCTATTACATTACCTGAGTTTGAATATGGTTTTGGTTAATAAAAAAAAAAATTATTCCATTCTACAAATTGATTTTCTTTTATGGTTAAAATAAGAATGTTATTAAACGAAAGCTTTCCACTTGCACAAATTATGAACATCTTGATTGTATGCGGCTTAGTGAAGGGGTAACAATAATTAGAGGGGCTATAGTCTATAGTCTATAGTCTATAGTCTATAGTGAGAAATCGGATTTCAAATGATATTTACTATCCAATATGTCGGATAAGACTTCGAATAATCTTAAAGTTTAAAATTTTAGATCTCAGTCTCTGTGACGTGGAGAAGGTGGTCTATATAAGCTCCGTATGTCGGATTCGGAGCGGCACCACTTTCCATATTTAGAAACAAATCTCCCAATCTCTTCTCTGCCATTGACATCCCATCTTCAGATTCCAAATCCTCCCTCCATGATCGTGAGCAAGAACCTCGGCACAAGCCTTGGACCCACACTACCAAATCCATCAACGCTCCCAACCCCGCCATTGTTATGGCTGGCCCAAATGATCCGCTCGACCTGGTCCGTGGCTCTCGGCGGGTTTAGGGTTTAAGACACGAGAGGAGCGAGGATGATGACAAGGGTTTCTTATGCAGCAGAGGATGGAAAAAAAGAAGCTCGATCCTTGCAGGGTTAGAACAGTCATTTCTCACACCTGGTGTTGTCTGAATCTCTTCATACACCATAGCAAAGCAAGCAGTAGAGCTCAGCGAGAAGAAGAACCACCAACAGGCAACCAAAAACTATACTCGATCTAAGTCCTACACTGTTCAAAGATCTCATCTTTCCTACTTCTCCCTCACTAAATTCACATCTCTGATGAGGATCATGATCGGAACATCACGACAGGAACTGGAGGTAGTGGTAGTGCCACAAACAAAAGGAATCAAGAATCATCAAATAACAAGAGGATACTTACATACCTCTACTGATCAGTTTGATTCTTCAAAAAAAAAAAAAAAAAAAATTCCGGATTCTCAGAAACATCGCAACAAAGAATGCCAAAAAATGGATGATACATCTCAAGCTTCTGCTGCATTTTGTGTTTGTGGTACCTGATTAGGTTTCACAGCTTTGTTCTTGTTCTTCTTCTTCTTCTTAGTCTGGTTCTCACCTTCACCTTCCTCTTCCTCTGTCTTCATTTCGATCCTCGCAAAGACGGGTTTAGGCTCAGCCATTACCTGTCCTCCTTTCAGTCCTCCCCACTCAGTGTCCTTCTGAAAAACCGCGAAAAGAACAAAAAAAAAGAAGAAAGGTTGTCAAGATTTATACGAAACCGTGAAGGAAGAGAACAGATAAATCTGTAGTTCAATAGATAGGGAGAGACCCAGGTTGTGCCATTGAATTGATCCGCTGAATAACCGAGCTGCGAATATACCCTCCAGCTTAAGTCGGGTGTGACGGGGTATAGAGCAACTGCTATAATTCTCATTGCTTCCAATATAATTACCATATCCTGTTGTATTGGTAAGAGCAAAACAATAAAGAATCATCAACATGACCTTTAGGGATCAGTCTCTTTAAAGAAAGTTTATTAAACTACCATTTCTTATTCTCACGTAAGAAACACTCTATTCTAGCCATTTACAAAGTTAGCCACTTGAAACATTATCGTAACAAGCTTTAATTGAGGGAATTCTGTCAACAACGACAGTGAGAGAGATCAAGAAAAACCTTGGCTGCAGCTTCTGCTGGAGAACCCCCTTGCTTAAAGAGGGACCAAGGCGCACGTTCATCCATGTATGAATTCCCCGCATTTCCAATCTCCAATACAGCCTCGCAGGCTGATGATAGAGACAGATCTTCATAATTTTTCCGAGCCTTTTCAACCTGAAGCAAAACAGAAACTGGTCGATATGAGAAGAAAAGGTCTTTGCAAGGGCAAATTCAATGTATGGTCTAAGAAAAGATAAATAATGCATCTTTGATTAGCTACAAAAGAAGCATGCTAAAAGCCCTACTAGCCATTACTACCAACTGAAACTTTTACCAGCTTCTCTACAGTGTCCTTGAAAGGGTTTCCTTCGGCTGCAACTGCGGAATCTACCGCCAAAGTTGATTGGCAATTCTTTTTTAGAAGGCCCAGAGTACGATTTAGGAGATTTCCTGCGGAAAATATATTTTAGCATTTCAAAAGTTTGGCTGGAAATAACCAAAACCTTGACGGCCGAAAGTTTAATTTGAGTAGCGAAAAAACCTATTGTATTGGCAAGATGTGCATTGACAATGTTTATAAAACGATCTTCTGAATAGTCACCGTCGTTTCCAAATTCCACCTCTCGAAGGAAGAAGTACCTGACAGCATCAGACCCAAATCTCCGAACCAGCTCATATGGTTCTAGAGTGTTCCCCAGAGATTTTCCCATCTTCATCCCATCCTAGAATTTCACAACCAAGATGTGAGCAAGAAAACAAGGAGAACGAGATGCATTTGAGAAGATATCTCCCATATTATACGTTATACATAAGCCTCGCTAATGGTAGCCTAGGCTAAGAAAAAGCTTTTGATTAACAGTTGGACAGCAGGGAATTTTCGGTTACATACCTTTGTCAAAAAACCATGACCAAACACCGTTTTTGGAAGGCTCAGGCCAGCAGACATTAACATGGCAGGCCAGTAAACGGCATGAAAACGTAGAATATCCTGCAGAAGAAAAAAAGAAAGTGACACGATTTTTCAAAAGACATACATAACTTTGGAGGCACAACCACGGGAAGAGGTCATGTCCTATTGCTGGATTGGTATTAACCAGAAAGGGTAGTATCAACAGACCATGTAAAGCAAACTTGTCAAAATAGTTAATAGTAAGGTCATGAAACATAAAACTATGGAATCAGACCACATTACGGTGAAAGGTTATCTTTTAGCAGATGAGTACCCAAGTTTACCCAGCATTTAGTCTACCACTAGAAACACAAAAGTAGGGGCCTTTAACATTCATGGAATCAATGGAGCAGACACAAAACTGGAAGTTACATCAACAAAACCCATAATGACAATTAAAAATGCAGGTATTCAGAAGAAAAACCTTCATGGAATCTAAACATTTTCCTGAACATAATAATAGGAGGTTTAAGAAAATAAGAGCTAGTTCATTCGACAAAATGACATACCTTCCCTATCAAGTGCAATGAAGCAGGCCAACCTAAGGAGATTGCACTTTCCAAATTATGCTGCTCATTGCCTTCTGTTAGAGCAGATATATAACTGCACCACAACAAAAATTTGTGCATTTTTATGGAAAATCTCAAAAAAGCTGATTCTATATAAAGGTAATCGGATGCAAGTTAACCTGCAGGAATTAGCTTCTGGCACGAGAGAAAAAACACAACCACAAATGTATATGTAAGGCAAGCAAACACATTGGTATCTAGAGATATAAAAAACGAGAAGTAACCTGGAAAAATGTCAAAGAAAGCTTACAAGAATTACCTGAAAAATCTGAGTTTCAAAGAAAGAAAGAAAAGAGACATACCCCAGCAGAGCGTCAAACCAGACATATATGGTTTGCTTCTCATCATTAGGAACTGGAATTCCCCAATCTACCGATGCCCGAGATATGGAGAAATCCTTCAAGCCACTGTTGATCCAACCTTGCACCTATAAAAGACCCTGTTAGAAAAGCATAAAATTGAATGAGCTAGACTCCTCTAACAGCGAATACATCTCTTGTGTGAACCTTTTTTATATACGATTTAGTGGTGTATATACCACATCATGAAAGGTTCACAAGCACTGGAAAAGACTTCAGAAAATAAATAATCTGTATGCCGATAATAGCTATGAATGAACAAATCCACACATGAAGGAAAATAAATCGAATAGCATATTAATCACCTCATTCAGACGAAATGAAGGCTGCACAAAATTGGGATTCTGGGACAGTAAATCTTCAAGTGATTTCTGATATTTTGATAGGGCAAAGAAATAGTTATCTTCTTTCCTTGAAACACACGGCATTCGGTGGACAGGACAGCAATTGTTGTCAAGCAGCTCTTTCTCATCCTGCAGAATTAAAACATGCAACAAGACTAAATTTTACGACTAGGCAAAAGCATGTTCACTCCCTGATCTCAGAACGATTAAGTGAATCGAAATCAAGTTCCAGAAAATCATTCTCGGAAATAAGCTGCATATCACATCAAGAAAATGGAAAGGTGCAAATAAGGTAAGGAACGGCGAAAACCTTGTACTCCTCACAGTTGACACAGTAAAGGCCCTCATAGTCAGCTCTATAAATATCACCATTTGCAAAAACCCTAGAATAGAACGCCTTTACAATCGCTTCATGCTTGGGATCGGTGGTCCGAATAAACTTATCGTAAGCTATATCTAGCTGCAACCAATATCGGAAAAGAAAGACAAGAAAACACAGAAGTTAGATCATATTGTTTGCCATAAAGAATAAACTCAAAACATAACCCATATCTTTCGGTAAAATGAAAAAAAAATCCCTACAGCTTTCCACAGAGTCTTATAAGCCTGAGATATGACATCACAGTGTTCTGTCCTTGAAAGGGTTTCCTTCGGCTGCAACTGCGGAATCTACCGCCAAAGTTGATTGGCAATTCTTTTTTAGAAGGCCCAGAGTACGATTTAGGAGATTTCCTGCGGAAAATATATTTTAGCATTTCAAAAGTTTGGCTGGAAATAACCAAAACCTTGACGGCCGAAAGTTTAATTTGAGTAGCGAAAAAACCTATTGTATTGGCAAGATGTGCATTGACAATGTTTATAAAACGATCTTCTGAATAGTCACCGTCGTTTCCAAATTCCACCTCTCGAAGGAAGAAGTACCTGACAGCATCAGACCCAAATCTCCGAACCAGCTCATATGGTTCTAGAGTGTTCCCCAGAGATTTTCCCATCTTCATCCCATCCTAGAATTTCACAACCAAGATGTGGCAGGCTTGCGTCCACTCACAGCTGCCGAGGTAGCTATCTTTTCTCCGTGCTCATCGGTGCCCGTTATAAATATTACCTTCTTCCCAAGGAGCCTCTACACCATTAAGAACCCAAATCATAAGCTATCAAACACAAATGGCAACCCTGTGTTGGGTTCTTATTATGTCTGAACTTGTGTTAGGCTCCTATCATGTCTGAAATACATCAATTCAATAGAGCTCATTGACTAATTTACAATTTACACCAAGTTTTTTAGATCATAAGAGCAAGATCCATGTGTCATTCCTATTTTCATTAACACGAAAGTGTGATGTCATGGACAAGTTCAATCACTCAACTTCCACTCTTCCGAATTCCGCACTAGTACTATAATCAGACAGACAAGGCGACGGCGGAAAAAGAGAATCATTGGCTTCTTCACTAATTTCCTTCACCGGCGGAAGCAAAGTTCGTAACTTTGAGGAAATTTTCCATATTCATTGAGAAATTCGAACATCAAAAGAGAGTTAGGAGTGACCAAAACACCTGGAAACGAGAGATGGCATCCGCAGCAATGGTGGTGTAAGCACTGCCCATGTGGGGAGGGGCATTCACGTAATAAAGCGGAGTTGTGAGGACAAAACGGTCATCGAACCCATCTCCATGGACACCATTTCCTTCGACGCCGCTGCTGAAACTACAGCAGAGAGCTCCCCTCGAAGAGCTTCCACAAGAAGACGGCGAAAAGGCGGATTTTTTGGAGAATCTGAAGGTTAGTCTGGAACAAACTGGATAAAGACTCATAGAAAAATTCAATGGGTATAACAAAGAGAGAGCGGTTTGCAGCGAAGAGTTCATCCTCGACGCCATTGATAAGGCCTCTTCGTTGGGCGATGCAGAAGAAGCGAGGATTTGAGTCTATAATAACAGTCTTCGTCTTGAACAGATGGCTTAGCGAAACTTTATGCAACCAGTTTCAGATATATTGTGGACCAAGCCTAGTTGGGCCTCAGCCGAGCCCTGTTTCTGTTTACTGGGCCTAGCCCATCTACGGTCCGTGTAAATTACACAATCTACGCTTAAAATTGATGAAGATCTAATGATAATAATACATACCTCTTCTATAATACATCTAATTTAAAATTCTAATTTTTTTTTTTCATTTAGTGGGAGAAATCTAAATAAATTTCTAAACTTTATCGCCTATTAAAATTAAACTATATAATAAACAGAGACAAAACGAGGTTTCTTTGTAAAGAGAGGAACCCAAACCCAAATAAAATTCTAAACTTTATCATCCATTAAAATTTATTCCTATGCTTAAAAATCCTCACTAGAAAATTCTAAACTATATATTAAAAAAAAAAGATGATGGATAAATGGGGTTTAATAAACGGAAAACCATATCTTAGTTCAGCCTTTGGTGCAAGAACTAATACCATCTCTAGAGCAAATCCTTTCTAAACTCTTTGATGTTCTTTTCTCCTTATACAGGAGCAGGACAATGTTGCTATGCAGATTAACTTTTCATATGCAAAAGGACCTGGTGGATTGGATTTCCTGAATATCATCTTCGGGTTTCGACTGGCAAAGGAGGGGGATTTAGGGTTTTATTAGGATTTGCCTCGGTCCACGACTCTTTCTTCGTCTTTTACTCTTCGCCTCGCTACCTTGCCGATCAAGTAACCCGTAGATATCCGAGCATTTGGGACATTATGCATGCCCCAAGCTCAGATACCCGGCCGACATTGATATGATGACAGGTCCCGACACGAAACCCGAGGGCATGGGTTCGGTGTCGGATACACAACCCGTACGTACCCAGAGTTCGTTCCGTCCAACTACCCATTGACCTTGACCATCTGTAATCTTTTGCAATGGATAGAGGCTGGGGAAAATATTGAGCAGCATCACAAGCTTCAAGACAACAAGTGAGAGTTTATACACCATAGCTCTCCGTAGGTATATACATTTACCGTCTATTTGTGGAAATGCTGCCACAATCTGTCCCAAGAGTATAGGAAACGCAGAATCAGACAAGGATAAAAGTCTTTACATTAGTTGAGATTGGAATAGAGTACAAAGTGAAAAAGATCACAGATTCACAGATACCTTTACACGTAGCTTCTTATTCGTGTTCTTCTGCTGTTTTCAGTGTTTGTAGCTGTCGGGTTATCATTACCTATTGAGCGTATCAAAGAGCCAAATATTTCTGTAACCTTCAGCATATTTGCCTTGACAATGCTGAATTTACAGAGACAGTCTTCCGTTCTTCTTCTTTTTTCCCTCACCAAGAACGATAACATAATGGAAGATATCACAATCATCGATTTTCTGATTGAAATAATGCCATCAGAAGCATTTTAGGGGAAACTTGAACCAGCAATAGACCAGATCAGCTTTGTAACAGAAGCAAGAACTTTGCCCTCCAATTTTCGTCTAACGTCTTCATGATCCGTGATGCCAGATGATATCATCGAACACTTCATGCTCGGACATTTCTTCCTAGTTTCTTGATCATCGATGTATTCCAATTCTGCAATGTAACCCACAAGTAATGATGGTGTTCAACAGTAACCAAAAGCCCATATCATTGAACACATACCATGCTTCTGCATCTAGAGGAGAAACTCACGATTTCTTTGGAAGAGGGTATTTTCATGATCTAGTGCTTCTCTTGTTTCTCCACATCGTGCATGCTCTTAAGTGGCATCATCCTAAGGCAGTTATCCTCACCATTGTTGCATCTGCTCAGTACTGCAAAGTAGCACCACCTTGTCTTAAAATCCAATGAAATAGTTCATTTAGTTGATAAATTTTCATGTGGGAAGTGATAAAACACAAAAATAGGCGAAGATAACACTATCACTTTTAATCAGGGATTGAGTCTGAAACACTTTCATTGACCAACTCAGATACCTTCACCTATGATAAAAGATTGCAGTTTTTTAAGCTTCAAACCAGCTACGGCCAGGAATTTTTTTGATCCTAGATCCACCAACCCTCGAGCAAAAGCTTCCTGCCTCGACCCATCTCCGTTCTTGGCCCCTAGTTTTCAGTAGTACGGCATAATGTAAAGGGTTTTCTGGCTCAAGTTTGGCAAGTTGACATAGTGATGCTTCAGCTAACAACAGGCTGGAATGCATTAACGAAGAATTGAATAAAGCTCCCCAGACTCTTGCATCAGGTTTCTTTGTCATTGTTCTCACAATATCCAATGCTTCGTCAAATAAACCCGCGCGGCCTAAAAGATCCACCATACAAGCATAATGTTCCAAATTTGCTTCAATATTGTGATCCTTGTGCATAGAGTTGAATAAAAGTTTTCCTTCTTCAACTAATCCTGCATGTCTACAAGCAGACAGAACACTGAGGAAAGAAACACAATCCGGATCAAATTCCTTTCCTTGCATAAATGAGAAAAGTGAGAGAGCAGAGTCTCCAAGGCCATGGGCAGCATAAGCAGCGAGCATAGTATTCCATGAAATGATGTCTTTGTTTCCCATCTCGTTAAAAATTTTCTCAGAAAACCCGATCATTCCGCACTTTGCATACATATCGACCAGACTATTCCCTGCAGCGGTGTGGAACTGAAATCCCAACTTAATGAGACAGCCATGAATAGACATTCCTTCTCTTAAGGCTGCTAATTGTGTTGCTGCATGTAAGACATTGACAAATGTGATTATATTCGGCTGAAACCTCTCTAGTCTCATCTGACGAAAAGTCGCAATACCTCCTTCAGCTTGGCCATTTAGCATGTATCCTGTAATCATTATATTCCAAGATACAACACTTTTCTTGAACTCGTATGAGCTAAACAAGGATATAGCTGAACCAAGGGCTCCACATTTGGCGAACATATCAATTAGAGCATGTTCCACATTCCATTCAGTAGCAAACCCATGTTTTATAATTTGCCCATAGATGCAAGAACCTTGAACATAGTCGCTATGTACTGCACAAGCGTGAAGCAAACCAACCATTGTTCCTGGGTCAGGGCATATTCTATCTGCCTTCATGTCTCTGTACACCTCATATGCTTTACAGGTGTCACCGTTCTGGGTGTACCCGTCTAAAAGAGCGTTGAAAACCACAGCATCTTTACACTGCACTCTTTCAAAAACTTTAAGTGCGGAAGCAGAGAGGCCACATTTAGCATACATCGAAACAATAGCTGTAGCAGTTGCCAAATCAGAATCAAGATTGGCCTTCACAGCATAACAGTGTATGCTTTTACCGAGTCTTGAGGAGGTTAGTTCTGCACAAGCAGGAAGCACACTTATCAATGTTACAGCATTCGGTTTAACGTATTTGCTCATCATCTTCCTGAACAATGAGAGAACATCTTTGCAATGCCCTGTTTGCTCAAATGAAGATATGATAGCTGACCACGCAACAACATCCCTATCTTTAAGTTTTTGGAATAACTCTTCTGCCTTCTCTAATTCACCACATTTGGCATACATATTCATCAGAGAAGTTGCAACCAGGACATCATCAAACATCCCCTGTAGCTCGACGTATTTGTGAATCTCTGTCCCCATCTTTAAATCCCCCAAAGAAGCAGCAGCCTGAAGAGCACTAACAGCAGCTACCTTGTTCATTCTGACACCACTGTTTTTCATGCGATCAAATAAATCCAAAATCTCTTCAAAGAACATATTATAAGCATAGCCTGACATCATTGTGCTCCATGAAGAGTCATGCATGCTTGTCATGTTCTCAAAAATGCATTTAGCAGCAGATACATCTGCGCATTTGCAGTACATATCGATCAGCCCATTATGCAAAACCGAGCTAAAACCCTTCTTAATCACAAGACAATGAAGGCATCTGCACACATCAACGTCCCCAAGCTTTGAAACAGCAGGGATCAAGTTGAACAGACTAATATAATCCATATTAACACAACTCGAATGCATATCACGAAAGAAACGGAAGGCTTCATGCGGACACGCGTGTTGAGCCAACCCAGAAACCATGGCGTTCCAAGCAACAACATCTTTATCAGTCATTTTATCAAACAGTTGTCGGGCAGAGCTCAAATCACCGACTTTGCCATACATATCAACAAGAGCTGAACCTACGTAAATATCAGACTCAAAGCCCTTGTCAACAACCGCACCATGAACTCTAATACCCTCTTGTAAGTCCATAGCACCAGTGCAAGCCTTCAAGACAAAAGTGAAAGTGAATTTGTCTGGATCCACACCTTTCTCTGACATGCAGTGATAGAATTCAAGAGCTTCCCTGTAATGCCCACCTCTCGTATAGGCCCTGATCATGGAGTTCCACAGGACAACGCCTGGGTCTCGAACTGAATCGAAGACGGAGCGAGAAAGGTCGTGTCTTTCAAATCGAGAATAGGCGTTTACGAGATGGGCACTCGCGGACTGTTCATGAGGTCTAAGACCAAACACGATCAAGCGGCCATGGACTCGAAGAAGAAGCCGGAGATTCTGACATTCATGGAGAAGGCTAAGAAGGACGGAGGAGGTGACTGGTAAAGTCGCCACAGAGCTGGATGAGATTCCAGTTCCGGCGGCGAGGCGGTGAAACCATCCAGGTTTCATCTCCCTCGAATCTTCGTCCACGGGCACCCTCCCGCCCTGAAAACTCTTTGAAGTAACGAACAACAACCATCGTCTTTGTATATATGTGTAAAGAATTACGGGGGTTTGCATAAAAAAAATTATTTGTTTAGATATGAATCTTTTTTAGGTTGCCGTGACAATCGTGTTATTTTTATTTAATCAAATATAATTTTAAACATTGAGTTTTGAGAAAATTCTATATCAATTTTTTTACAATTTAAAATCTTGTGATTGTATTTTAAAATTTATAGTAATATATTTTTACCTTAAGGAATTCTGAAGATACATATATTTGGGGCTTGTTTTCACCTGATTTCGTTATCGATTGATAAATGGAAATGAAAGAAAAAGACAAAGAGAGGAGGTGAGAAAGACAAATGGTGGATGATGTAAATAAAAATGATAAAGTTCTTTTATAAATTCAAACGACAGATGAGTATGGAAAAAAAACCCTAGTGCATTTTTTTTCAAAATAGCCCTACAATCATAATTATTTATAAAATTATCCTATATTTATTAATATTATAAAAGATACAAATAATTGAGTTTTGATATCCGTATTTTATCCACAAATATTTTTAAAAAAATATCTATATCCGATTCGTAAACTCTAGATATCTAAATTTTCGATTTGGATACGGATCAAATAAGTGATCGCAACGATTTTTTCGCATATTATATTTAATCCGCTTTCTCGCCATTTAAGTGAATCCATCATATTTATTTATGAACTTGATTAATTTTCAAAATAAGTAGCTTTGTCTTGATTTTGTCATCAATCGGAAACACGAAAAGATCGATAAATAAAATATAGAAATGTAATTAAAAAATCACGTCCTGACTTTTTTTTTTAATGCATATTATTTTGAATGGTTAGCTGAGAAATTTATTTGGTCACTGCATTTGTAAAATTGCAAAACCAGCAGCATACGCATCGCGTGTTCGTCAGCGATTGGAAATTTAAAAAGGGCAAAACAACGCCCAATGCAAAATGGACACGTGTACAGAATGTGCCCATCAGGTTCAGCTTACGACCAACGCCACGTTGAGCGCCGAGAAAATTGGACTGAAAAAGTGGGACCCACAGGTTATTATTATCCAATGAAATTCTAGAACCCAAAATGCAAATTTTTATTTAATTTTCTACTTTTTAAATGTTATTTTTTAAACCTAGTAAATATGTCCAAATTTATTTTGTTAATAAATCTATTTTAGGAACTTTAATTGGTATAAAATATTCTGTCAATTATTTAGTCATAAATGATCTTCTTCCCCGTTCGATATATCACATCATTACATTTCTTTCTTTCTTTTTTTCCCTTTCTAATATATATATATATATATATATATATATAAAAGATGGATTAATGTATAGAATTAAACGAACAAGGGTATAAATAGGGACACCCTTCTCTGAAAGATAGCATTGTAAGGGACAGGTCGCCGTCCAATTCTTACTTTTTCTCCAATCTTCTCTCCGTTTCCAGGTTCGTCTTATTTTCTTGGCTTCCAAACAGATTCTAGAACATTGAAGGGAGAATTCCGACTTTAATGTCATTTTTCTCTCGCATTTGGATTCTCGGACAACAGATCTGTTCCTCGGATTTTTCGTTTTTCCCCGACAGGTCTGTCCGACGGTGATAATCCTGCCCGTCGAGCTGATTTTCCTGTCTAGATTGGGGTTTCGTGAATTTTGCTGCGCGAGTTTCTTGATAGGGTTTTGGATGAGTAGATTCGTTTAAATCGTGGGTTTGTTGTTCATGTTGATTTTACCAGTTTCGCCTTTTCATCTTCTTGTCCCTTCCGTTCTGTGTTTGGTTGCATCCAAAATGGAATGGAGGAATCCGGAAGTCATATTTTGAGAGATTATCATCGATGATCTTGCTTAATACCTGTTTTGTCCCTGAAAACATTGCATTTCTAAAGGTCATCATTAGTCTTTGGAGAACAGCCTTGTCTATGTTGTCTATTTCTTTGCTTTGTTAATATGTTTCTTGTTCCCTAGTCTGCAGCTGAGAGCTGTCGTTGATGACTTTGGCTGTCATTTCAGCGTGGTGTTGAAGTCCTTATACAGTCACTGAATTGGAAACATACTCTTTGGATCTGGCACAATGGTGTGGTTTAGAGCTGGGTCTGGTGTTACAAAACTTGTTGTGAGGAGGATCCTCTCGCAGGGTGGATCCTATGCTGCAAGAACAAGGGTTCTTCCCGCTCAAAATCGGTACTTTCATTCGACTGTCTTCAGACAGAAAGCCCAAAGTGCTCCGGTTCCCCGGCCTGTCCCACTCTCCAAGCTAACTGATAGCTTCTTAGATGGGACGAGTAGTGTATATCTGGAGGAGCTACAAAGGGCATGGGAAGCTGATCCAAATAGCGTAGATGAGTCGTGGGACAATTTCTTCAGGAATTTTGTTGGCCAGGCTGCAACCTCTCCTGGCATATCGGGTCAAACAATTCAAGAGAGTATGCGCTTGTTGTTACTTGTGAGGGCTTATCAGGTGAACGGTCACATGAAAGCCAAATTGGATCCACTAGGTTTGGAACAGAGACCGATTCCTGAAGACCTAGACCTGGCTCTCCATGGATTCACAGAGGCTGATCTTGATAGGGAGTTCTTCCTGGGAGTGTGGAGAATGTCGGGATTTCTATCTGAAAACCGTCCAGTGCAAACACTTCGCTCCATATTGACACGGCTTGAGCAGGCGTACTGTGGGAATATCGGATATGAGTATATGCACATCCCAGATCGTGACAAATGCAACTGGCTGAGAGAAAAGATCGAAACACCAACTCCTCAGCAGTACAACAGGGAGAGGCGTGAGGTGATTCTTGATCGTCTTGTATGGAGTACTCAGTTCGAGAATTTCTTGGCTACCAAGTGGACAACAGCTAAGAGATTCGGGCTCGAAGGTGGAGAGTCTTTGATTCCTGGCATGAAGGAGATGTTTGACAGAGCAGCTGACCTCGGAGTAGAGAGCATTGTGATCGGAATGCCTCATAGAGGAAGATTAAACGTTTTGGGTAACGTTGTTCAACTGTCGACCCGTCAAATATTTAGCGAGTTCAGTGGCGGGATTAGGCCTTCGGATGAAGTTGGATACACTGGAACTGGTGATGTGAAATATCACCTTGGAACTTCCTATGACCGACCTACGAGAGGAGGGAAGAGAATCCATCTTTCTTTGGTAGCAAACCCTAGTCACTTAGAAGCTGTCGACCCAGTTGTTGTTGGAAAAACCAGAGCAAAGCAATACTACTCAAAGGATGAGAACAGGACCAAGAATATGGCTATTCTGATTCATGGAGATGGTAGTTTTGCAGGACAAGGGGTAGTATATGAAACCCTTCATCTTAGCGCTCTTCCAAACTACACCAGTGGTGGTACCATTCATATTGTGGTTAACAACCAAGTAGCTTTCACGACTGATCCAAAGTCCGGGAGATCTTCCCAGTACTGTACCGATGTTGCCAAGGCCTTGAATGCTCCCATCTTTCATGTGAATGCTGATGATGTTGAAGCTGTGGTCCATGTCTGTGAGCTTGCTGCTGAGTGGAGGCAGACTTTCCATTCAGACGTCGTCGTTGATTTGGTTTGTTACCGTAGGTTCGGGCATAATGAAATAGATGAACCATCTTTCACACAGCCGAAAATGTATAAGGTTGGTAGTTTTTCCGACATGTTATGCATGCTGAAAGAATCTGACACAGATTTAACACCCTTGTCATGTTTCATTTGCTTCCTGTCTCCTCTTTGCTTCAGTTCTCTAGTTTGTCAATGTCCCTTGTTTCGTCACTGTTTTTATTTGTTTTGACAGGTTATTCGCAACCACCCCTCTACCCTTCAAATCTATCAGAACAAACTCTTGGAGTCTGGTCAGGTATCCCGAGAAGATATCGACCGGATACTTGCAAAGGTCAATTCAATCCTAAGTGAAGAATTTGTCAATAGCAAAGACTATGTTCCGAAAAAACGAGACTGGCTTTCAACCAACTGGGCTGGATTCAAGTCTCCTGAACAGATTTCTCGTGTCAGAAACACTGGGTGAGGAGGCTTTTCGGCTTTGCAATTCTTTTTTCCAGTGTTCAATCTTATGATAAATCTTGTCCTTTTTCTGCAGCGTCAAGCCAGAAATACTGAAGACTGTTGGCAAGGCAATCGTGTCGCTCCCTGATAATTTTAAGCCTCACAGGGCAGTGAAGAAGGTTTATGAACAACGTGCTCAGATGATCGAATCAGGAGAAGGTATTGACTGGGCACTTGCAGAAGCTCTAGCTTTTGCCACCTTAGTTGTGGAAGGAAACCATGTCCGACTGAGCGGTCAGGATGTCGAAAGAGGAACCTTTAGCCATCGCCATTCCGTGCTTCATGATCAGGAAACAGGAGAAAAGTATTGTCCTCTAGATCATGTCGTCATGAATCAAGATCCCGAGATGTTTACTGTCAGCAACAGGTACTTTTAGCTTCACTCTCTATCTCTTCAAAGAACACTGAAAGTTAAATGCTTTTCTCCTTGTCTGTTCGACATGAAATTGGTTACTCGGGCAGTTTACTGCTCCTGCAATGGAGATTGGTTGACTATGTGGACCCAACTGCGTTTTCTTATTTTTCACCATAATCGATCGTTAATTCTAAGATCAAAACATTTACTGAGAAACAATTGGTACAGCTCTCTTTCGGAATTTGGTGTCCTCGGGTTCGAATTGGGTTACTCCATGGAAAATCCAAATTCTTTGGTACTGTGGGAAGCTCAGTTTGGAGACTTTTCCAATGGAGCTCAGGTAATATTTGATCAGTTCCTCAGCAGTGGAGAGGCCAAGTGGCTGCGTCAAACAGGGCTTGTTTTGTTACTTCCACATGGTTATGACGGGCAGGGACCAGAACACTCAAGTGCGAGACTGGAGCGTTTCCTTCTGGTAGCATTTGTCCTGATTCCGTACTCTTATTACATCATCGAATTCATTGTCTGAGTTCTTTAAGTTTGTTGTTCCTGGCTCTAATCTATGCTTATGAAATCAGATGAGTGATGATAATCCCTATGTCATACCGGAGATGGAACCGACTATGCGAAAGCAAATCCAAGAATGTAACTGGCAGATTGTCAATGTCACAACTCCGGCCAACTACTTCCATGTCCTGAGACGACAGGTGAGAACACTATATTCACTGGATAGTGTTTCTTCCAGGTTTTTTATCGTTTCATATATCTCACGAAGTTGTCACTATGTAGATACACAGAGATTTCCGTAAACCTCTCATTGTGATGTCCCCAAAGAACTTGCTGCGTCACAAGGAATGCAAATCAAATCTCTCGGAGTTCGACGATGTCCAAGGCCACCCGGGATTTGACAAGCAAGGAACAAGATTTAAGCGCCTGATTAAGGATCAGAACGATCACTCTGATCTCGAAGAAGGCATCAGAAGATTGGTACTTTGCTCTGGGAAGGTACATTCTGCTTCTTCTTCTTCTTCTTCTTCTTCTTCTTCTTCATCTCTCCGATACATTGTTTCTGAAATATATAGCAGTTCTATAGATCTTTCCCCACATTGGTGAGACATCTGTCACGTTGTTGTTTGCAGGTTTACTATGAGCTTGACGAAGAGCGAAAGAAGAAATCTGCAAGCGACGTTGCTATCTGCAGAGTGGAACAGCTTTGTCCTTTCCCGTATGATCTCATCCAGCGTGAGCTGAAGAGATATCCGAGTACGTACCCACAACCTTTCTCTTTACATTTAGAGTCCGTAATTTGCATTGCGAGATCCAAATAGCCTCGGTGCATGCATCTTCCATACATTATCGTAAAGTCGGGCGAACGTTACTCGGTGCAATCTTGTCAAGATTATTTTTTCTTCCCGAATGCAGTATAAGTCATGAGATTTACCCTACTTCACAAGGCTCCCCCTCTCTTTTTACCCACCGGAACTCCCGAAACCACTCACTAGAATCTTTGCTCATTTCCTGTGAGAGATGAGCGAGTGAAATTTTCTCGATAGAGGCATGACATTGGAACCCGACCCATGCCTAATCGAAACGGGTTTAGTGGTTTCGGATAAACGTGTATATAATCCGAGTCTCTCTTTATCTCTATGTTTGGTAAACCTGCAGATGCAGAGATAGTATGGTGCCAAGAGGAGCCGATGAACATGGGAGCATACAGCTACGTGTCTCCGCGGCTGTGCACTGCCATGAGATCACTCGGCCGGGGGGACAGAGAGGACATCAAGTACGTGGGGCGTGGTCCATCCGCAGCCACTGCAACCGGCTTCTACCAAGTCCACGTCAAGGAGCAGACCGATCTCGTCAACAGAGCCATCCAGAAAGACCCTATCAATTACCCTTTCTGAGTTTTCTTCCTTTTTTTTTAAAGAAAAAATAATAATAAGAAAGAAACTCTTGTGTAATTCTACAAAACAAAACAACTTGCAAAACCCAAGTCCTATGATTGTTTTGTCTATCCATTGATTGTAGCCTGTCGGTGCAGGTAAAACGTTCATCACTGATTCACAAAATTTTATAGTCTTCTTCTTCGCATTTTTATTGTGACGTTTGCCCTGAAAGCACACCTACTATACATTCCCGCTTGACAGTGACACAAGTTTGTCGATTTTTTCCCGAGTTACTGACCAAAGATGCCCGTACTGAACTTTCCACTACGAACCCCGGTCTGACTGATAGTTAGGGGTTGGCATGCGGTTCGGTTATTTTAGTTATTAACCGAACCGAATAAAGATATTTTGGTTATTAACCTATCCAAATCGAATAACCGAACCAAGTTGCCACTAGAATCTCAACGTTTTTGTTGTGATTGTAGCCGAGTGTGCTTACACCAATTATTTTCTCAATCGTCCACAAACACCCGAAATCGCAATCAAAGCGTTTGCGGATGATTACGTTACCACCGGTCTGGCCCATATAACCATATGTAACTTTGGACCTGAGAGTTTAAGACCAAGTTAGCAGAGATCTCGATCATTGGTACGTCGAAATGCTTGCACAAGAACGCCGTCTCGACGTCAACACCACCGCCGCCGCCGCCGCCGCCTGCCTTGAGAGTTAAAGCTGATTAGCTGATCAATGAGAGAAATGATTCTGCATTCACTACCGCAATGATTATATAACATTTTCAGACAGATGTTTTGTGAAGAGTTTTCTGGCTTCAGCCCTTGCAAACACATCTTGAACCCATACAGGAGAAAAACAGTAACCGGTTGTGTATATATATAATGAATACAGTATTTAAATTTTCGGTAAACTATTATTAATTCAATATAGTATGACATCTGGTTGTCTTTCATATATTTATAATCATTTCGTATGATAAGATAAATGTTGTCAATGAGTTCGTATGAATATTATTTGTTAATATATTAATATCTCTTTTCTTCTAATTAATCGCATCTAAAAGAAAAAGATTATTTTATTTAAATAGTTAGATTAAATAGATAATTGTAATAATATTTTTATTAGTTTATGCATTAATTAGGTATATATATATATATATGTATGTATATATGTATTGAGCAGATGTGATTTAATGGTTAAGCAGAGATTTTGGTGTTTGTTGACTAACTGCCACCAACTTATAACATCAATGGGGTCACGGATGAAAAGGATTGGAAGCATTCATTGTCTGTTGATTATCTATATATATACAATTTTTACAATTTAATTATCATTGTTGTGGAGTTATTAGTATTATTATTCATGTAATTATTTTTCTTAAACTAAAAGTTGTGTGTTCCATATTCTTGGAAAGAGACGCGACACCTTCTTAATTAAAATAAAATATAAAATTTAATCGTCTATGGCTCTATATTTTTTCTAAAATAAAAAAAATAACTGAATTAAAATATAACCAAACGACTAGATATTATTTTTTTTTTAATAAAAACGACTAGATATTCATATCCAAATTAAACAAAAGATCTCTTTAATTCTATTTCTATCTCATACAAACAATTATTTCTACCCACCCTGTCCTCAGCATTCAATATAAAAAAATTTATCAGAAGTCTCTTGAACAAGTATGATTCAAAGCATTATGCATGTGGCAGGTAATAATATCATACAATTCATTGTCATTATCTGCATATAAAATTTTTAAAAAACAATGGTAAATCTTTATACATAATGTATTTGTCTTGAAAAGGTAAAAAATCATGCAGTATTAAAATTATAATTCTCCAAAAAAGATGCTTTGAATATTGGCAATAAACACATTATATGTTATCACCAAAAAGGCTCAAAAGCCCTTTGAGTGAGACATAAAAACAGTGATGCCATCATTTGTTGCACCATCGCTATTCAAATCCAATAACCCTTTTTTCGAAATTTTATTTTATTTTATTAGATTTTGAACTAACTAGAATGATGATGATCATGACTTCAAATATTTTATTTTTAACTAATTCCCTGAAAGCTAATAATTTCATCAAACATTTTGGTCTTACATAAAAAAAAAAAAAAAAGAAGAAGAAGAAGGAAGCCCAAAACGGCCATGGAAGAGAAGGTGAAGAAGAACACTACCAAGAACAAGAAGCAGAAACACAACCAATCGAAACCCTCTTCGGACATCTCCTTCAAACCATCTTCCGACGTGAAGGGTCTCAAATTCGGCAGCCAAATCATCGTCAAATCATTTACAGTCCGGCGAGCTCGACACCTCGAGCTTCTCAGTCTCCTCTCTCTCCCTCCTCCGGCAACCAAAAACCCTGAAATCTCGCCGGAGTTTCTGTCGGTGACGGCGTATTTCCCGACGAACTTCACGATCCTCGCTCACCGTGCATGGCACACGCTAACCCTCGGGATGGGAACTCGGAAGTCGAAGGTCGTCGTGTTCGTGTTCGAATCAGAGACGATGAAGACGGCGGTGGAATCGAACTGGCCGCCGGAGATTCCTCTCGGCGACGTGAACAAGAAGATGATAAGAGTGCTCAAGGGCTGCGAGTTGGCGAGGTTCAAATTCCGGAAAGGGTGCATTACGTTCTACGTGTACGGTGTACGGAACGCCGGAAACAATGGCTTCGCCGCCGTCGAGGGCTTAAAGGTAATTTTACAGTCGGTGTCTGCTCTCAAGGACTTTTTGGATCACACTGCTATGTTGGCTTTGCCCCACCAAAAGAGCATTCATTGCAACTCTCGTTGCCCTGACGTCACCATGGCTCACTAAATCAACCCTTTTCTTCTTTCTTTTTTTCCTCTGATCGATATCCAAATATTCTTGTTTTGTTAGAACATTGTAAGAATTGTAATTGGGATTTTTTTTTAACTTTCGTCGATTTTTTTTTAATTAGGGGGTTTTGTTGTATGAATATGATCTAATGTGTGAAGAGGTTATGCCCTAAAACTTGAAACTTCAGAGGGTTCTTAGAACTTCTATACGAGTTGAAGATTTTGAAGAGAAGGGGAAATGACATCGTTTCTCAGCTGCAGCGCTTAATGAATTTAAGGGCAATTGGGATATTTCAGGGGTCAGATTGTTACGGCGGTTATCTCCTTCCTCTTTAATACTCTGTATTCGCCATTGTAGCTTTTAATCGAGCTTGAAAACAAGAACTCGTGTGCGTGTGTGCTCAGAGTGTATAAGGGCGTTCTTTCCTCCGAGACGTAGGACGACTACACTGGTCGATCCGAACTCGTAACTCTCGTGTCTTTTTCATTTCCGTGTTTCGCATAACATCGGCTCTGGTGAGGTCGAGTAATTCGTGTGTGGGTAAGATTGTTTTGAGTCGAAGATTCTTTCGTCTGATCAATGGAGGTGTTGGCTCGGATTAGTACATGTGGTATCAGAGCCCGGTTCTTTACAAGGATCACTAGGGCAAGCTCTCGCAGGATACTCAAGAACATCAATTCGAACGGCTGGAAGAAAGGAGGATTTGTGGACGCACTAAATCAGGTTTTTCTCCGGCACAGATCTTTGTACTGATTAAGATGGCAATGACTATGCAGAAACTTGATGTCGAGAAATTCGACGAAAAGGGAGATTTCATATTGTGGAAAGAAAAGATCGAGATAGGTCTCGAGATCATGGGACTACAGGATGCACTCCATGATGATCCACAATTATGAACATCTGTGGAGGATAAGGGAACTCAGGAAGCGAGAACTCCGATTTCGATGCAGACAATTACAACTTCAGAAACTCAGGAAACTCCAGGTTTGGCTTCGACTCTAACTCAAGAATCAGAAATCATTCAAAAACGAAATGATTCGGAAGATTCATGTATAGCAGTTCGAATGGAAAGGAGTAAACGAGTTAGGAACCTGATAGTTCTATGCTTGTCTGATCAAATCCTTAGAAAAGTTATTCAAGAGAAGACGGCTTATGGAATTTGGAGGCTTCTTGAAAAACAATATCTAGAACAGTCTCTACCCAACAGAATGTACCTAATGCAGCGTGTTTCTAGTTTCAAGATGGATGAAGGAAAATCTATAGATGAAAATCTAGATATATTTCAGAAACTTTTATCAGATCTTCAAAATCTGCAAGTCAAGGTGGAAGAAGAGTTTCAAGCAGTTTATCTACTTAACTCTCTACCAGCTCCTTATGAACAATTAAGGGAGGTGCTGAAATATTCCAGAACGAGTATTACGGCTGAAGAAGTTAAGACTGCAACAAGATCCAAGGAAGCAGAACTGACAGCATTGAAAGGTACAAGGACATCATGAGAAGGGTTGGTGGTTAGAGGCAGATCTGAGCAAAGGGACCAGTCCAATACCAGGAAGAAATCAAGATCTAAGTCAAAATCCAAGAAAAAGGTTGAATGTTGGTATTGCGGCAAGAAAGGTCATTTTAAAAAGGGTTGTTATTCCAGGAAAAATAATCATAAGGGAACTCAGGATGACAAAGGAGGAGTTGCAGTTGCTGATTCTGGAGATAACATGCAGTTCTCTACAGTCTTGACTGCAGAAAGCTGGGAAATCTTGTCAACAGAAGATACAGATGCCAATGAACATTGGATTATGGACTCGGGCTGCACTTTTCATATGACTCCGAAAAAGGAGTGGTTTGTTAACCTGGAGGAGAAGAATGAAGGAATAGTCAAGATGGGAAATCACATCACCTGCAGTATAAAAGGGATAGGTTCAGTAAAGATCATATTGGAAGATGGGTCAGAAGTGTTATTGACCAATGTCAGATACATTCCTGAGCTCAAGCGGAACCTTATATCCTTGGGAACACTGGAACTACAGGATTGCTGGTATAAATCACAGAACGGTATCCTAAAAGTAGTAAGGGGCTGTAGAGTAGTATTGAAAGCAAGACTACAACATGGTCTGTATGTTCTGCAAGGGAAAACACAGACAGGTGAAGCTAATGTTTCTGAAAATCATGAGGACCAGACTTCTCTGTGGCACAGTCGGCTTGGACGTGTGTCAAAAGGTTTTGGATGCATTGGTTAAGAAGGGTCTGCTTCAGGGGGCTAAGATCTCTACACTCAGCTTATGTGAAAGCTGTGTTTGGTAAAACACACATATTGTCCTTTAATACTGGTAAACACACAACAAAAGGTGTTCTTCACTACATTCACTCGGATCTATGGGGTTCTCCTAACACTCCATATTCTATGTCAAAATGTCAGTATTTCATCTCTTTCATAGATGACTACTCTAGAAAAACATGGATATATTTTCTGAAAACCAAGGATGAGGCATTTGACAGATTTATAGAATGGAAGAAGCTTGTTGAAAACCGGCAAGGGAAACGGATTAAAGCTCTCAGAACTGATAATGGGCTTGACTTCTGTAATCAAAAGTTTGAAACTGTATGCAAGGATCAAGGTATCAAAAGACATAGGACATGTGCTTATACACCTCAGCAAAACGGGGTTGCTGAGCGTATGAACAGAACCATAATGGAAAAGGTCAGAAGTATTCTCAGCGAATCGGGTATGTCTCAGAAGTTTTGGGCTAAAGCTGCTGCTACCTGTGTCTATTTGATAAACAGATCACCATCTACTGCAATATAATTGGAAATTCCAGAAGCTAAGTGGTCAGGAGCTGAGCCAGTTTATTCTCACCTGAGAAGGTTCGGGTGTGTAGCATACATACATATTGATCAGGGAAAGTTGCTACCTAGAGCTAAGAAAGGAATCTTTATTAGATATCCTCAAGGAGTTAAAGGTTACAGGATATGGCTGCTGGAAGGTCAGAGATGTATGATAAGCAGAGATGTAAAATTCAATGAAAAAATCTTGTTCAAGGACCTAGAGCTGGAAAGAAAGGAAAGCATAACAGGAAAGTCAACAGAAGGAGAAAGGGTACTACTCCCTTATGAAGTTAACGTGACCAAGAAACGTAAGGTGACTGAAGATCAAGGTGGAGCAAATCAAGAATCTAAGACTTATTCGAAAGAACCAGAGGACAGAGAAGTATCAGTACCAGTGAATGGAAGGAAGAAGATTCAGGTTCAGATTCACAGGAAGATGATAACTCAGTATCTGATACAAATGATCTTAAGGGATATGTTCTAGCCAGAGACAGGATAAGAAGAAATATCAAACCTCCTTCAAGATATAACGAAGACAAAACTGTAGCTTTTGCCTTGGTTACAGCTCAAGAAATTGTAATTGAAGAGCCCAGGTCATATCAAGAAGCAAGGAAGTCTAAAGACTAGATCAGATGGAAGAAAGCTATGGAAGAAGAAATGGACTCGCTGAAACAGAACAAGACATGGATTCTGGTTAAGAAACCAGATCAAAGCAGGGTGATAGGATGCAAATGCGTACTCAAAAGAAAACTGGGCATATCTGGGGTTGAGAAACCTAGGTTCAAAGCAAGATTGGTCGTCAAAGGTTTTACACAAGTTGAGGGAATCGATTACAATGAAATCTTCTCACCTGTGGTAAAACACGTTTCCATAAGAGTTCTATTATCCTTGGTGGTGTATCAAGATTTAGAGCTGGAGCAATTGGATGTTAAGACAGCATTTCTTCATGGGACTTTGGAGGAACATATCTACATGAGGCACCTGAAGGATTCGGGGAAAGAGGGAAGGAAGAGTGGGTATGTTTACTCAAAAGATCTCTGTACGGTCTGAAACAATCTCCTCGACAGTGGAATCAACGGTTTGATGAGTTTATGAAGAGCAAAGAATTTCACCGAAGTTGCTACGATTCTTGTGTCTACTTCAGAAAGTTTGAGGATTTATCTCAGGTATATCTTCTCATTTATGTCGATGACATGCTGATAGCTAGCAAGGAGAAGTCAAGGATTCGAGATCTGAAAGAAATGTTAAGCACTGAGTTTGATATGAAAGATTTGGGGCCTGCAAATAAGATTCTGGGGATGAGTATACAACATGACAGACCGGTAACAGATTGACTTTATCTCAAGAAGGGTATTTGCAGAAAGTGTTGGCAACTTTTGGAATGGATCAAGCAAAGACGATCAGTACTCCACTAGGAGCTCATTTCAGACTAAGTTCAATTCAGCAAACTGAGGAGAACAGGGAAGCATTCCAGGAAATGGTTCCATATTCTAGTGCAGTGGGAAGTATCATGTATTCCATGATTGGCTCAAGACCATATTTGGCTTATCCAGTTGGTGTCGTTAGCAGGTACCTGAGTAAGCCAAGTAAAGACCATTGGAATGATGTTAAGTGGATATTAAGATATCTCAAGGGAACTCAGAAACTGAAACTCAACTATGTTCAAGGTTCAAGCTTCATGGTAAAGGGATATTGTGATTCTGATTATGCGGCAGATTTGGACAAAAGGAGATCAGTTTCTGGCTACGTTTTCATGGTTGGAGGAAATGTGGTAAGCTGGAAATCAAGCTTATAACATGTAGTGGCTCTCTCAACCACTGAAGTTGAGTATATGACACTTACAGAGGCAATTAAAGAAGGAGTTTGGCTGAAAGGCTTGTTACAGGAACTTGGTTTCGAGCAGGAGTCTGTGGAGGTTTATTGTGACTCTCAAAGCGCAATAAGTCTGTCAAAAAATAATGTCCACCATGAAAGGACAAAGCACATCGACGTAAGGATGCATTTCATTAGAGATCTGATCTCACAAAGTAAAGTCAGGGTGCTTAAGATTCATACAGACGAAAATCCAGCGGATGCGTTTACTAAGACGCTACCAGTCAGCAAATTCAAGGCAATCTTGAATATGCTGAGATTAATAGACTGAGCATTCAGTTGAGGGAAGAACCGAGGTTAATTCTGAGCTGAGGAAGTTTTGAGCAAGGTGGAGTTTTGTGAAGAGGTTATGCTCTGAAACTTCAGAGGGTTCTTAGAACTTCTGTACGAGTTGAAGGTTTTGAAGAGAAGGGGAAACGACATCGTTTCTCAGCTGCAACGCTTAATGAACTTAAGGGCAATTGGGACATTTCAGGGGCCAGGTTGTTACGGTTGTTATCTCCTTCCTTTTTAATACTCTGTATTCGCCATTGTAGCTTTTAATCGAGCTTGAAAACAAGAATTCGTGTGCGTGTGTGCTCAAAGTGTATAAGGGCGTTCTTTCCTCCGAGACGTAGGACGACTACACTGGTCGATCCGAACTCGTAACTCTCGTGTCTTTTTCATTTTCGTGTTTCGCATAACATCGACTTTGGTGAGGTCGAGTAATTCATGAGTGGGTAAGATTGATTTGAGATGAAGATTCTTTCGGCTGATCAAGGGAGGTGTTGGCTCGGATTAGTACATAATGCATGCTTTTATATTCTTCATGATTTTTTTACTAAGATTCTTTTGGGTAAAATACTATGATTTGAGTGTCTGTAGGTGGATTTCCAGGAGTAGTTTTAAAAAATATATATTTATTTTGTTTTTAAGTTAGATTTTTAATAAAATTGGTTAGAATATTGTTCCATTATGTAGGGGTAACATATCCGAAATTTAGTTTCGTAAAAAACTAAAATGGATGGTTCAATTTTAATAGGAGGATCTATCAATGGGACTCGCGGCAAAATTATAATCAACTAGTAAAGATATGTCATTTATGAATCCTAAAAATTTGGATTATACTAAATCAAACATTTTTAATTATTCATTAGAAAATATATATTACAACCAAGTAAGCGTTTCCTCTCATGCGCCTCTTCACTAAAAATATTCAATCGTACATTGCTGAAAAAAACAATTTGCAAAAAATTGTGAATGAAAATGGAAATTTCAAATGGGGGAGCGGGTAATAGCTCGAATTTATATCAGATCCGATTACTTCAGTCAATTCGAATTTAATTTTTACTAATTTAAATATTTCTTTTCTAAAAAAGGAATTTATTTCAATTTCTATTCCATTAAATTTCATTTTTTTATAACTCGTTTCAACACATGAACGGGCTTTGTGGGCCCAAATGCTTTACGTGGGCCTGAGGCCTTTCAACGAAGACAGCATTCTCCATGCCCTTCTAGTAACCAATAACCATTTACCGCAGGCGCATCAAACCCTTGGGCCACACGTCCACAATATCTCATCTGTCCTATTAATTACGTAATTACCCTTCTCTTTTGTCCTTTACTGATTTATTCCCCACGAATATTCTCCTAAACTGGACATAACCGTCATTTCGCACTCCCACCCAAATCATATGAGCATTTAAATATTATTTTTTAGTGGATGTACGATTCCCTGTGTGTATATATCTGTGGGTGTGACCCTTAAAAGTCTGAAGCGACTAGCGACCATTGTCCACTCGATCGTTTGTTTTGCATCGCCGTTCCTGTGACTCCCGTGAGGTTTTTTCTCGTGATCTTCATCTGAAAGTATGGCGAGGAAGTTTTTCGTCGGCGGCAACTGGAAATGCGTATGAGATCTTTCATCTTCGTGTTCTCTTTTTTCGGTTAATGATTTTTGTTTGCGTCTTTTTCCTCCTCTTGATCCTGCTGTTTGTCTGTTTGTTTCCCGGGAAAATCAATCGGAAATGTGAAGAAATTTGCTATTCCGATCTTAATCTTGTTTCCTAGGTGTTTTCTGGCATTTGTCTCGACAGGCGACAATTTCAGATCCATTTTATACGTGTTTTCTTCGTTTTCTGGAAAACTGATGGTTCGGATAGATCGCTTCGATTATAGATCTCATGTTGTCTCGATCTTTTGAATTCAAAATAGCTTCGATGCTTTCGATTTCGTGCTTTAACTCGTATTGTTAGTGGACGGATCTGCGTAGACATGCTAATTGGTCTTCAGTATTTATGATAGATTTTCGCGGCTAACATTTGGATCCCGTTCTTTTTCATGAGAGAAGGATTTTTAGGTGTGAAGTATATATCTGATCGATGTGTTGTTAATTTGGATGTAGAATGGCACTACCGAGGAGGTGAAGAAGATTGTGAACACTCTTAATGAGGCTCAAGTGCCATCACAGGATGTTGTGGGTAAGTCAAGCCCTTTATTGCTTTGACCAAAATGTGAAGGTTGTCTTTGAAGTTTGAAGTCTGTTGTTTCCTAACTGTTCTAGTGAATTTGTTTCTGTATTTTGTTACCTTTGGAACGTGAATCTTTGAATCTATCTAATTACTTCTTGTTCAAATGTGCGTGCGCTCTTGAGTTTTAAATAATTGGTTAGATAAGTTTCCGAGTTGCATTATACTAGAAAAACAAGGATCTTTGGTCACTTTAGGCAGAAATCAAATGTTTTTTCCTTCCCCGCTTGATCTACAGTGTCATTATGCAGTGAATGTGTGGATAGATTGAATACTTTTTTCTGTCTTCTTCACCTTTCGGAAAGCAACGTTCATCAACAAATCTGGATGTAGCCTTAATAGTCTTTCTCATCTCCACTTGTTCATACACATTATGGTTTTAGGTAATTATGATGGGGATCATTTTTGCTAACTTTCTCATAATTTGACTGTTGCAGAGGTTGTGGTTAGCCCTCCATATGTGTTTCTTCCTGTGGTGAAAAGCATATTGAGGCCCGACTTTCATGTTGCTGCTCAAAATTGTTGGGTTAAGAAAGGTGGTGCATTCACCGGTGAAGTGAGGTAAGATCCTTGCTTTTGATATCTACTTGTCCGTTTGAGCATTGCACTCTCCTGCTACACATTCAGAGGTTTTGGATTCACGGATGATTTTGATCAAAATAAGTTCTATACCTTGTTTGGTCTTTTTTATCCTGTTGCATATAAGAATCCAATTGTCTATTTATTTCAGAAAGCAACATCATCAAGCCAAAAAAGAAATATGATTGGATAATTTTAAATGCATAATTAGATGGGAAAAGCAGGTTGGAAATGATTCACGTCCCCAGTGTGAAGTTTTCATAAAAGAGATGTGCTTTATTTGATTTCTTCATTCGTCTGTGTCTGTATTTCCTCCTTTGTTTTCTGCATATTGTTTCCTGTAGTTATGCGTGCTGCAATTTTGCTTGCAGTGCTGAGATGCTTAAGAACTTGGATATTCCATGGGTTATACTTGGTCATTCTGAAAGAAGAGCACTCCTCAACGAATCCAACGAGGTAAGTGACTTTTCATTTTTTCTTCCACAGGCATTTTGTACATGAGAAACGCCCAATACAAGAGGAACTTCCGATTTATGTTGAGATTTGAGTATGCAGTTAAAACTCCCCGAATTTTGTTATTCTTGAATCTCACCCCATATCACTGTACTGTAGTTTGTTGGAGACAAGGTCGCCTATGCACTTTCTCAAGGTCTGAAAGTGATAGCTTGTGTTGGGGAGACTCTCGAGCAGCGCGAGGCTGGAGCTACAATGGACGTTGTGGCTGCACAGACTAAAGAGATTGCTGGTTTGTAGCCTTTTTACCACTATTGTTCTCTTGCTATTGTTCTTTCTGAAATTAGAGTCCAAATCCTATTTGTTAACCAATCTTGCTTGCACACCCTTTAAATGCATAAATGCGTTACAACAACAGGATATGGTGGTCTTTTGGCACTACATTCACAATGCTTTCTTTTTAGCCTTCAGTTCAGAATCTTTTGGCTGTAGGAAACATGTTTTTCCCCTGCTAATATGCATGTGGTGCTTGTCTTGATTTGACCTCCTGCCTAAAAGGGCTGTTTTAAATGATTTAATCAATGTTTGCTATATGGTAAAGATAACTTCCAACAATCTGAGAGAAAAGTATGAAAGTTAATCTGAGTGGCAAGATAGTGGACGATCAACCTGATCTATAGATAATATCTGTCTCGCTTCATTCTTCCGGTTTGGAGAAGGCCTTACTTCCGATTCTGAAAACTGTTTTTTTTCTAATCTCTGTTGAATGGAAGATCGTGTGTCGAACTGGGCCGATGTTGTCATAGCATATGAACCTGTCTGGGCCATTGGAACTGGGAAGGTCGCCACCCCTGCTCAAGCTCAAGAAGTAAGTTTCCTTTAAGACCCCTGCTAAATACTCCATAGAAAACTGGTTTTAAAATATCTTGAACTTATAATATTTCCTCTTTTAGTTGGGGGAAAAGTAAAACACATTGGTGGGGTTTTTTTTTGTAGATTCCTCCTTTTTTTTTTGCAAATTGAATTATGTGTGAAAGTGGATGCCTTTTGTTTTCCTAAGCAGGCAGAATGTCCTATCCGATCCAAAGATAATTTCATATCATGCAATCTTCTGAAGAAACTTTTGCTATGCATATTATCGTGGACCCTAAGAGGATCGCGAGACGAATTTCTCTCACAGTACCGATGATTTGAAAATGACAGGTGCACGATGAACTAAGGAAGTGGCTCGCAAAGAACGTAAGCGCTGAAGTCGCTGCTACAATCCGAATCATTTACGGAGGTTTGATTTAAAAAAAAACATTTCATTCATCAATTAAGCCAATCCTATATCATGTATCTTAGGATGAAAGGCGATTGTGTATTGTGTTACAGGATCGGTGAATGGGGCTAACTGCAAAGAGCTGGCTGGTCAGGCCGACGTCGATGGCTTCTTGGTCGGTGGAGCCTCTCTTAAGGTAATATAACGAGGGCGTTTTCAAAGTGCAATTTCATTACTCTCTTAGAAAACCAAACCAAATGCATCTGCCGGTAGCATTTGGTTAATATCCGAATAATCAAATCGATTTGAACCGAATAGAACCAATATGATACAAAAAATTGAATATAACTGAATCGAATTTGAGATAAATCGAACGGCAAAACTAAATAATCGAATCATAATTTAACCTAATCGAGATGGAAATGTCTGCTGCAATATTGTCCAATGCAAAATTGCAAATGCCTTTCCGTTTGTTCTCTAAATCTAAATGTGTTTTGGGGCTTTTTCCTCGTGCAGCCTGAGTTCGTTGACATCATCAAGTCTGCGGAGGTGAAGAAAAGCGCCTAAAGGCCATGAGGCTGGAGAAGATGCTTCCAATGTTTGTTTGTCTGCCAAAAACTTTGAGAAATGAAATAAGTTTTTTTTTTCAAAAAAAAATATTAAGGACCTGCTGCATTAAACTGCAGGTTTCGAACTGGGTTTCTCGTTTTGTTTTTTGTGTTTTTTTAGGTTTGGCACAATGATTTCTCTGCTTCCCTTTAGTTCATGTTTATAAACTCGTTGTTTGTTTTATTTCCGTATTTTATATATATTTTCATCTGCCGGTCTAACTTTTTTTTCCCCCATCACCTTGCTAAGGTTTAGTTGAATATGTATGAATATATATATGATTTTTAATATAATCTTCGTCTATTTTCCAAATTAAGCGTAATTGTTGATGCGTAATCGGTTAATAGTTTTTAAGACGGAATTTACGTAACAATGTTTAAGTAGACTTTCACGTCATTGTTATTAATATCCTTATATCATAAAATATTAAAAGTTCAAAAAATAAAAATAAAATACGGAATTTTAACAACCATATACAACACACAAAATCATACCTATACATACACACAATAACATGTGTATACATGCATTTATGTATTGAAATATATACATATAAAAAATATATATGTGTTTTTGTAAAATTTTGTTTTAAAATTTTTTAAAAATTTCTTGACGATATATAAATAATTGATATTAATTTGTAAAAAAGTGATAACTTCAAAATTCATATATATATATAGAGAAAATATGTTAAATAAAAATTTGAAAATAAATATTTATTGATAACACTAAATTGTGATATGACTCTAAATAAAAAGCGAACCTAATTATATATAAATATATAATATATTTTATATTTTTCTACAAACAATAATTATATATGACATTCCTTTTAGATAAATAATGATAAATTTGTAGAAAAACGAATTATATGGATTTGAATTGACTAATTATATACAGAAAAAAGGTTATGCAGAGAACTAATGCCAAAGCAGAATTAAAAGGTCAAACAATCTTTTCTAAAACAATAGTTTCTTAGGAAAAAAGTTATGTTTCATATTCACAGCAATTATATATGACCTTCCTTTTAATATAAATATATGTTATATATATGTTATATATATATATATATATTAATTTCCATAATTGACGGATGGGGGACGTCAAATTTGTCAAAAACGAATTCCATGGATTTGACTAATTAGAATAAGTCCACAAATCGCTAAACAGACAAAGATGTCACAAAGACAGAGACGCGACCAAGCGAGAGGACGTAATTTATTTGTAATAAATATCACACACTCCTCCCCCAAGTCAAACGCCATCTCATGCTCCGTAAGCTTTCTTATCCATACATACATACATACATACATACATACATACATACATACATACATACATACATACATACATACATACATACATACATACATACATACATACATTGTTATTATTAATTATTACTTGACTTGTCATTGTTATGTGGACGAGAATCATTTAACGTGTTCGATGATTGCTTATTTATTGGTTATGGATAAAAACCAAATATTACTTTTATATTTTTGCACATTGTAGAATATCCAAAACCATCAGAACTAAAATAATATTATCGTTCAAATGGATACGTCTTCATTATCATCAACAACGGCGGCGATCATCATTTGTGCGAAAATTGATACAAATTCAAAACCAGTAAAATTTTAAAATTATTGATTGCATAATCTCTATATATATATATATATATATCATAATAAAACCAAACCAAATGTAAAACCTAATTAATAATATATAATCTCCTCCATGATTTCAAATGGAATACTCAACCACAAAATATCAAAAGAACCACAGTAATTTTAACTGTAATAAGATTGAGTAATATTTATTAAAAAAATACGATTAAAGGCAATACATAAATATACATATATATATATATATGTGTGTATATATGAAAAATAAACCCAATTAGTGTTGCAGAAGGTAAGTCAACGCTCTCTCTCTCTCTTTAAACTTGCTCCTCGTTGAATGTTTCCTTAAAGGCAAAGCGTCAAAAAGAACGAAAAACGCAAACCCTCTTTTTCAACTAAAACAATTGTTTTTACCTTTTTCAGTTAAAAAAGAAATGCAATCACAAGACACCAACCATATTATATAAAAAATGAATATATCGCACGATAACTTTAGATTAGAACATGACTCAGATCTCAGATGCCATGATCTTCTTTCTAGATATGGTCGACGTGCAAGTCATCCATTTCTCGGTCTTTCATGAAAATCGAATGATTCATATCATTTGTAGTCATCCCTATTCTATTCGATTCCGTTTCTATCAAATAAATTTTTTTATTTAATTTTTTCGGCTTTTTAAAATTTGATTTAAATAAACTGATTTTAAAATTATTCAATTCAGTTTGATTTTATGTAACGAAACAAAAAAAAAACTCTTTCATAATATATGTTTGTGGTTTCTATCCAAAATTTACTCACACTAATTTTAGAACTAATATTAATCTCCAACTAATCTTGAATTTTTTAATCATTAAGAGTCTATGAGCTACAAAAAATAACCATAAACTCCATTTAAAAATGTCTAAAAATGATGCTTAGTCTTTGTTCGTCTTGTAGGACAAATTCTATTTCTATGTCATAGTTCCATTCATCATATTATATACAGTTTTATTCCGGGATCCAAATTTATATATATATATATATATGTGTGTGTGTGAAAACACGAGTTGATTTTGGGATTCATATTGCACACAGGAAATTCTGAATGAGTTTGCATGTGTGTTTCGTTCAGAATTGTGTGGTATATAATATCTATACAAATAATAAAAATAAAGTCTTTTTATCCGAAAACGCTGAAAAAAAATCAAATGTTGAATCTTGTCTAGATTTTACATTTTATTTTTCTTGCATCCGCGTCCTTATGACCTTTTTATTCGAAAATAGATCAATTCGACAAGTATGTATTAACCATACAGAAAATATTTTTATAAAATTATCGTTTATAAATATCTAAAACATAAAAATAAAATTAAATCTAAATATATGATAGAATATAATTTTAGAATATTCTCAAATTCAAAGAGAGAGATTTGGAATCAATTCGTGAGCAGCGAGGGCTCGCGTGAGTTTTGCGGCAGTGTCGGGATTTCGGGTTCTCGAGGACTTTCTCGGCCATTGAGAGATATTTATAATCCAAAATATTTGAAGACTTTGATTGGTCATTGGATCAAAAATCGGAATTCAAAAGTTTTTTCCTACATTGTTTTTTACTTTCCTTACATTTCATTTCAGAACATGAAAGAGACCGGTCTTTGGTCCTCTCTCTTACCTCCTCCACACAACTCTTTTACTCGTTCTCTGTCTTCTTCGCCTTCTCTCTCTCTGTCTCTCTCCTTGATGTTCTTCTTCATGGGACCATATGGGTTTTCTATAATTTCTTGGGTTCCACTACTTTGACAAGTCCTGTTCTGCCGTACAGCTGAAGCAATACAACGAAAAGGGAGAATCTTTTCGTGTTCTTCCTGTCTGGGTTCATGGGTTCTTGTCTCAGTTCTCGGATCAAGGCCGAAAGTCCTCCCCGTAACGGTAACGTACCTCCGACTACAACTTTCTCAGTTGATTTCCCCCCCCTGATGTTTGTTTCCCGGGAAAATCTGGCCTTTTGCATGTGTTCGTTTGCCCGGGTCCATGATTTTGAACAAAGGAAGGAAATTTTGGAAATTCATAAACTCGGAACATGATTAGACCATCGTATGATTCTCTGGGGAAAAATGCGATGTAGAAACTTTTGTTAGGATCTGAATCTGGGCAACGCATGTGTTTGTGCAGAAGCAAATTCGAGCGAGAAAAGCAGCGATCTGTACGGCCTAAGTCTTTCGAGCCAGAAATCGTTAGTGAAAACAGAGGGAGAGATTTTACAGTCTGCGAGTGTCAAAAGCTTCAGCTTCAACGAACTCAAGCTCGCCACCAGGAACTTCGGAACAGACAGCGTGGTCGGAGAAGGAGGCTTCGGTCCTGTTTTCAGAGGCTGTATCGATGAGGACACTCTTACTCCGACTAAACCGGGAACCGGTTTGGCCATCGCGGTTAAACGGCTTAGCCGGGAAGGTTTTCAGGGTCATCGTGAATGGCTGGTGAGTATTCATTTCTTCCAAAAGTTTGGATCTTTACTTGATAGTTTCGGTCTTCTGATTGTTGTTTTTGTGTGTTGGATTCCAGACAGAGATCAACTACTTGGGTCAGTTGAGTCACCCGAATCTGGTTAAACTGATTGGTTATTGTCTGGAGGACGAACACCGACTTCTTGTATACGAGTTTATGCCCAACAGAAGCCTTGAGAATCATCTTTTCAAAAGTGAGTGATGATCATTTTTGTAAAGGTTAGCTCATGGAATTAGAGAGATTTATCATGATTGGGTTATGGGGCAGGGAGTTCGCTCTCGTGGAGATTACGGGTCAAAGTAGCGGTAGATGCGGCCAAAGGGCTCGCTTTTCTTCACAGCGATTCCGTCAGAGTGATCTACCGAGACTTCAAGGCTTCGAACATCTTACTTGATTCGGTATTCAGTAGTGTCATTAAGTCTGTTCAGAGTCTTGTCTCCAAGCAATTAGATTATGACTTGTGTTTTGATTCAAATGATAGGACTACAATGCCAAACTCTCGGATTTCGGGTTGGCCCGAGACGGCCCAATGGGTGATCAAAGCCATGTTAGTACGCGGGTCATGGGTACTTACGGGTATGCCGCTCCTGAATATATGTCCACAGGTACATCAATCAATTTATAGATGTATCAAAACATGATGTTTAAGTAGCATATATCAACTATATGGTTTGACTGGTAGCTACTTGATCTGAAACTGATCTTGTTTCATCCTCGTATCCCGTTTTATATGGTCAGGACATTTGAACACGAGAAGCGATGTGTACAGTTTCGGGGTGGTTCTGCTGGAAATATTGTCGGGTAGGCGAGCATTGGACCCCAATAGACCGGCTAAGGAAGAAAACCTCGTGGAATGGGCTCGGCCTTATCTCACCAGCAAACGGAAGGTCCTCCAAATCGTGGATAGACGGTTAGACGGACAGTATTTGCCGGAAGAAGCGGTTAGAGTCGCGAGCATAGCCGTGCAGTGCATCTCCTTCGAACCCAAGTCTCGTCTAACTATGGACCAGGTGGTAAGAGCCTTGCAAAGAGTGCAGGACAACTTTGGCAAACCGACCAAAACCGAACCGGTTAAAGGTACCGAAAATTAGGATTAAAAACCGGAGTCTGATTCCTGAAAAATTGGATGTGCAGACAAAAACCCTTTAGGTTTTGTAGGTATAGAACATGTGGCAGTACTGTATTTTGTACGAATTTTCAGTGTATTGTACGGATTTCCATGTATTTTGTTGTATTGATCTTAAGATTGATGGAGACTGGAGTGAGTTAAAAGAGTGTTGTTGATATTTGTAAAATTTGGAGCATAAAGAGATTATACAAAATAGAATATGGGAGTCCCGTTTAGGAACTGGAATAAATGGGAGCAAAATGGAATGATTAATAAGATATGGGGTCAAAGTGAGTATTCCTCAAAATGGAATGGGGAAAGGAAAACTCACTTGCATCCTGGAGACTGCATCCTGTTTCCCGCTTTTCTATTCGTACTGTGTGCCGTTTCTGTGGACCTTGTCGAAGAAACAACCAACGCAACGCAATGGCTTGTGTGTGTGTTTCAGCTTGTTTTCTTCTTCGTCCTCGTGGCGCGTGTGGTACACTGCCGCAAGTTCTTATGGTTGTCTCTGTCATTAATAGAATTTAAAATAATACTTGCAATTTTTTTTCATTGAATTGTTCTTTTTTATGAAATCTTTATTTAAATTGTGTTGCAGGATTACTAACTATATATGTGTATATATCTTTACGTATGTGTTCCATTTATTTTTGACATATTTAAATAATTTTTAAAAATTCTATGAAATTTTTTAAGATAAAGAGAGAAATGATTTCAACTTTATATTGAATTACTCAAAACAAATCAAAATCAATTAGACAGTCCATATATTTAAAAATGAAATGAAATTAAATCTACACGCAAAGAACTGGGCCAAGCCCATGTTTCAATGGGGGCCCAGTTTCTTATCACAAGGAAGGCACAATCCTTTCTCTGTTTCTAACAGAACATTACTACGAACTTAGGGTTCATTTCAGATCTCTGTCTTGACGAGGTGCTCTTGAATTCTCTTCTCTGCACTTTTTGAAGTTTTCTGCGTTCGATCGCAGGTAAATTCCGCTCCTTTTCTCGCAAGTCATTCTTCGTTAGTGACTGATGCTCCGATGCAAACCCTAAGTGTTTTGAGCTTTGGTTTTGGGTTTTGAGGAATTCTCTGTGACGCTGGCTAATTTTCGGACTCTTAGGTGTGATTCCGTTACGCAAGCTTGATTTTGATGTCTTGTTTGATCGGGACGATGTTGTCTTGGCGAGTAGGTAGGTTGGTGTTTGGTCATGAGAAGATACAGTCCACCGTATTACAGCCCTCCGAGGAGAGGATATGGTGGTCGAGGGAGAAGTCCTCCTCCTAGACGTGGATATGGTGGGCGTAAGGGCTCAAACCATGGAAGCCTTTTGGTTCGAAACATTCCTCTTGATTGCAGGTTTTGTCTCTCTACGAGTTTTTTACTTAGTTTCAGCTAAGATTCCCTACTCTTATGCAAATTCTGGGTTTTGGCTATTTTTTCTTGTCATCAAAAGTTTTAGTTTATTCTGTTTGCAGGCCGGAAGAGCTCCGAGTTCCTTTCGAGAGGTTTGGACCTGTTAGGGATATTTATATCCCTAGGGATTATTATTCTGGGTAAGTGGCCTCTCTTGCTTGTTTCTCTTTTGCTTGGTCGTTGGCTGCTACATGATAGTTTCAACTTGTGCATCTTTTTATCATCATTAATGCAAGTTTAATGCCAATGATGATTCATTTCTTTTGAAGCTGCAATAAGTGAAGAATATCCCTTGTTGAAGCAAATAATAATGAAGAAACTTCCCTTGGAAGTGGTAATAAATGAAGCATATGTTCAAGTAACACCATAAATTACTCTCGTACCTTTACAAGTTTGAGGGGGAAAGCGACTTGAAGAGTCTAAGTTTGGGATCAAGTGCTACTTATTCTTTTCAAGCATGTCAAGATCTTTCTAGATCTCTCCCCTCTTTTCAAGTTATTATGCTTGAACTGTGAAGAAAGGTCAGCTACTAACCGCTTCCCTTAACTTGAGCTCTGCATTAATGGAAACTCTCACCCTCAGAAGCTGACTTTTACAGTAGTTTCGAAAGGTATACTGGCTAATGATTGTGTGTTCAGTGATGTTCTGGTGAATGAATCTATGGAGGAACCTTTTTTCCCTGATGTAAGTGCTTATGTATGGACCATTGACTACTTGGAATGATAAAGTTTCTATATCATTATGCAGGGAACCCCGTGGATTTGCTTTTGTGGAGTTTGTGGATTCATATGACGCTGCTGAGGCTCAGTGGAGCATGAATAAGAGAATATTTGCTGGGAGGGAGATTACTGTCGTTGTTGCTGCAGAGTCGAGGAAAAGGCCTGAGGAGATGCGTGTGAAGACGAGGACAACTAGGTAATTCTTCTTCGTTATTTGTGTTGGTTAGTTACCCGTTTTTTACTTCTGAAAATAGGGAAAAGGGTTTTAATCAGATATGACTTTATCATTTGCATTCATATGTTCAGAGAGAACATCATCGATTTTATTTCAATTTTTTTCAGGGGACCTTCAAGCCATGGAGGTCGATCTTCTGCCTACTACGGTTTGTGATTGTGTCTCTTACTTTTGCTTTTTGCTCTTTGAATCCGAGATTGTTATAAAGCCTGATCAGACGTCTTTCGGACTACTTTAAGAGTTTGTCCTTGTCATGTGATTATCTGGTCATAATTTTCTCCTGTTTATCACCTTTGCTGCTGTTCAATTTGTTTTCATATGGTCCGGAAAGAGGAAATTTGATTCTCATCATTCTCACTACGATTATGACTGCCTGAGCTTATGAATCCTGTTACTTTATTTCTCGAGTTCAGTTACCTGATGTGAATGATCTTGGCATTTAAGTACATTAGCAGCAAAATTATGACCGATATACAAATGTATACAATACATGTATAGTATATGCAAGTGCATTCTGAAGTTTTATGTATACTTGTATATACACTTTCTTGGATACCAAGCAATCCTAATGGGGGTTGTGTTCATTCACAGGACGTTCTCGGTCACGCTCAGCCTCACATTCACGCTCTCCTCTCCGTCCATCGGACTCTAGAAGCAGATACAGATCAAGGTAATGCTTTCACCTCAACCTCTTTTCCTCCTCCATATTCTTCTCAATGTCAACCCGAGGAGATATAAAAATCGCGTGGCATTACATTTCAGATCGTATTCCCCTGCTCCAAGGCAAAGGGCAGATTACTCTGCATCTCCAAGGCGAAAGCAAGAAGAACACCAAAGATCACCACCAGCCCGAGATCCTACCCGAGAAGAAAACAGAAAATACAACCGCAGGTCCTATTCTCCCGGATATGACAATGCTGTAGATGGGGACAGAAATGGAGACAATGAGTACAGAGAGTAAGTGAGACGAGACCGTGTTTCAATTTCCGAGTGTGATTGCTTCCTGATAACTGTTACCGAACTGTGGTTTCAGGAAATCGGACTATGGAGCAGAGGAAAGGCGACGTGAGTGGAACTCATCGCCGAGAAAGGCATCAAAATCGCCATCGGGATCTCGATCCAGGTCTGCAGACTTATCCCCTAGATGAAAGCCTTGTGAAAAAAAAACCCCTCTTTTTCTGTCCCCCAAAAGATAAAACTCAAAAAACAAAAATGATGCAAGGTCTGTATGTGTCTGTTGTCTTTCCTCTGTTAGCAAGTTTAAACTCTGGTTTCTATAACAACATGGGCTTGTAAACGATCGTAAGTCTGCTGCATCCCCTCTCTCTCTCCATTGCCATATTCTGAGTTTTTTTTATATCTGAATTTTTTAATTCGTCTCCTTTTGTCTTACAAAAACGCGGATCTTTTCCAACTTTTATTTTTTTTTTGTTGGGTCGGATCAGATATCCAAAAACCATATCTGATGTGTTTGACCAATCCTACTCTAAAGTCAATGTCGGTAGATAGAATGGGTTATACATGTGCCTCAGATGAAATTGATTATTTTACTGGCCATACGGGTACGACCAGAAGCTCGTACAGAGAATCAGACATAAGGGCATGAGCCTGAGTTCCATTACCCCCTTTGTCCTCCTTTGTAAACGAGAAAGCATCTCCTGTGGGATTATAACAACAACAGCTCTTGGTCCATCAGTGTTGAACATAAGAACACCCCTTGATGCCACATCACTCAAAACAATCCACGCGAACTAAATAAATATAAATCTCAGATTTGGACATCTTTTTCACGGATCCGCCAAGAAATTAGCTACTCTGTTCAACAAGTTCAAGCCAAAGACGGTTTCCTCGCAGTTGATTTTGATGGTCAGGTTGAGTGGTTCTGAGCATCTACCCTCGACAGTTACGGAAATCAAGAGAGGGATTTCACTGCTCAAGATCTTGCTTCCGAACCTCAAACACAGACCGGTTGCATCTTCCAGGTTGTTTGCAACTGGCATCTCCACTGACACAAGGAATAGATTTGAATTGCTAAGCATCTTCAACCCAATACTCTCACATATCCATAGAAATCTGTCTTTCGCTTCGGTGCTCTCATCTCCAACGTGGCCTGTGAACGTACATCTGATACCCAAAGTCAAGAAAACCCGGGTTAATTACGGAATGGAAATCAACACGAGAAATGTACCCGAATCATATTTATCGTCACAATTTTTTTTTCATTCCATTAATGTACTAGTTTTCTTATAATGAGTCCATATAACATGCTACTTTCTATGATGGATGAGGAAAGAAAATAACTGACCTCCTGGTATACTCGAACATTCCCGGAAGGCGCGATTCGGTATCTTTAAACGCCTCAACGCTCATCGAAAATGGTTTCACAAAGTACCCAATATCAGGCCGCAACTTGACAGGAACCTTCTTCCCGTTGTAACGTAAGGCCAACTTCAAGGGAAGCAGGTGGTGATGAAAGCGGACCTGGATAATTCCCTTTGCTCTCTCACCAGGATCGAGACGATTAATTTCCTCCATAGGCACTAACGTTGGCACATTGTCTTGAGATATGCTGCAGGATTCAAAAGGAGAGGTGAGAGATTAGAGAATTAAAAGAAACAGTTTTCGAGTAAAATATCATTTGATACATAGAATACAATGAATAACTCGTGTCATATATCACTCGATAAGATGCTTTAATGTAAGCCGCGGTTATATATCAAATAAGCAAAGCATGTTTCTAAAGAAATCCGGACATTGAAGAAGAAAGTTTACCTCCCCTTTTCAACCAAAGCCTGGTCCACAGAGTCCGATGCCTTATTTGTTTCTTCCTCCTCCAAATTTACCTCCAGGATAGGTTCAGAAGAGCTATTCTCGAATACAATTTCTACACAAACATGCAACATGGATACAGTGGAAACTTCAGATAGAAAGGCGTAATCCACCTTCAAGCCATTGCCATTTGCAGGATCCAAAAGAGTATAGGTTTTTGGCTTCACTCTGCTTCCTATATCACCAATGGATATTTTTGCATAAGAGCTCTGATTCCTAGTTGAAACTGATGAATTTTCAGTCGATGTACTAGGCTGTTCATTTAACCACATATCCAGGGCCTTTCTCGACCTTAGTTCTTCGAGATCCGCAGAGTTAGAGACAGAACCACCACCTTGATTTGTAGAAGATTCAGTAAAATCTGATATCTGAATTAATGGATATGGCGTGTCCCTGGCTTCATTTGAGGGAGTACTTTCATCACTGTCACTGCTGGGAACTGAATCAGTAGCAGATTCAGAACCGTAATCATCAATTGTTCCCGAAGATCCTCGAGAACCATCCGAATCAGTTGCAACATCTCGTTGTCTTCTTAAATCTGACAACTGATCATGTTCCTCAAACACAAAACTACAAGGCTTCGGAAGAGGTTCATACCCAGGAGCTGCATGAAGAACTATATGCGACAGAGATCCGGGGAGATAAAACCGATGGTGAGAGGGCTTAGGTGAAAAAGGTCCCAGCTTTCTCCCAAATACATGTTCTGCAACATATGCAGTGAAATTTTCCTGAGGTTCGGCATCATCTCCCCCTCGCTCATGAGAAGCTAACTTGTCGGACAGCAGTTTTCTGAGGAAACGAGTCCGATCACGCACATCATAATTCAGGTCACATTCACCCAATTCAAGCACATAGCTCACAATCCTTTTCAACGTCAGAAAGTCTTCACCCTTTGCGCTTGTTAATACCTATAATCATGATGGAAATTTGGGAATAAATTAATTGATTTCTTCTCAGTAGTGATATATGCCAAAGTAAATACATATCAACATAAGGGGGAAGATGACCATAGCAAAAGCTAAAAGATTCAAATGCAGGCAGACCTGCATCAGAATAGGGATATTGTTTTACGGAAAATCAGACTATACTAATCCAGAAATGGAATAGGTTTATCCAGAGAAATAGATAGGTCGATTGCAAAAGAATAAAATAAATAGAAGACAGCAATATGAAATCAATCATAAAATTGCCGTAACAGTAAAAATATGTAGATAATTTCTTTTCTAATAAAAAAGTGGAACTTGCCATCAAGGGGTTGTTGAAAAGAATATCAATATAGTTAAGCTGACATACTTCCAGTTCCTGCCAGTGAAATCAGGATGGGAAGTTTTGAGATGCCTCTTAATGAGTACCTTAGCAGTAGTATTAAGAATCTGAAGTTTCGTGTCCGATGCCTCTGACTTAAAGCTCCATGCAAGGTACTTAATTACTGTGGTCATCATTTTAGGAATGATATGCCCCAAAGAGCTGTATACCCCCACCATCCAGATAATAGTTGAACGAGCAGCCGGCACCTTGATTGAATCAAGACTACGGAACAATTGAATTATCACCTTCAAAAACCCAAAAGCAAAAAAAGTAGGAAAGAAATCAATTGGTCATTCACAAACAAACAAACAAAGTGATAAACAGCACATATGAGATCATTGCAACACTTTCCATGCAATGACAAAGCGGTTCTATAAGTTAAGGATAAGAGGCGCGTACTTTCTCATGACTTAGCGGATCTTGTTCTATGATCGTCTGAACCGACATTACAGCTTGAACCAATACTGCAGCTTCTCCATCCATGGATTCAATATTGCCAGCAAAAGATTCTGAGACATTGTGAAAGCTACTTCAACTGATTCTGCAAATGATCTGAAAATGTATGCAATTGAAAAGAAGTATAGCAAACCCTGTTACAAACCCTGTCCAATTAGAGCTAACAATCCATCAAGGGATGAAGTTGGAATATTTGGTAATCTCTTTGCACATACACCAATTGCTGCAACTGTATCAGCCGCAAACTGCCTGTCTGGATCTCCAATATAATCCTAGGAGAAGTTCAGGATTGAAGCATTCAGTGATGCACATATCATTTGTCCACTGACATACCACAAGGATAGAGAAAAAAAATAACTGTTTGGGGGTGACAATTAGAAATGTTTTTATAAAAAAAATCAATGTGCTCAATTAAGTGTTTATGAAGAAAGTTAGGCGCTCATGAGTACCTTGCAGAAAATTCAATATTAAGTTCAGGAAAAGAGAGTACCTCAAACTCTCTGAAGATAGAAGAAATAGATGAACTGGTAGCGACAAGAGAAAGTATCTCCAGCTTCAATGCTTTAACCTGATATGCATCTGAGGAACTGATATAGAAATATTCAAAGTGTGGAGCAAACAGAGAGGGCACTGCTTTAGCAAACACTAAAATATTGCAGAGGACCTGCCATAAGCATGAATGAACAATGGTTAGAAAGCAGATCATATTCGTCAAGACTACTTGACAATTCATCTAAAAGAGTTTAATATTCTGTGCAAAAGACCAATACAAATGTTTTTGACATGAATGAAATAATAAATTATATTCACATGAATGATTTAGAAAAAAACAGTTACCACATATTTGGAGGAACTGGATGATCTAAGCAAAAACAAGAGTGGTTTAACAATTTTTTTAACGTCTTCCTTAGGTCCCATAATCCAGTGAACACCAGCTGCTGCCAGTACAACCGCACTATTGTTACTCCATAACAAAGGTGATGTACATTGAAGCAGAATCTTCACACCATCATTATCTGCAATAGATGTGCTATCTTTTCTACCAAAAGCAGATGAAACTGTGTCATGGCAACTAGACCGTGATAGGTAATCATCTGGTCCTTCAACATAACATTTGATGACCATGCCAACCAGATCAGAGTCTAATGACCCATTCATATCACCGTCTCCTTTATCCATCACAAGCTCCTTGCCTAAACCATCCTTCTTGCAGAAGCCATTGCCCAAACTATGTGGAGACAACATCAATGATTCCCGTACAAGTCCATGCCTTGCAACGGCATATCGCAAAAGAATTCCTATAAGTACTATCTGGCCCCACTCTTCTACATCAGGAAGAATCTCACACAATTTTCTATAGTTCCTTCTGATCAGTTCAAAGTTATTGGGGCAGACAGAAGAGAATGCTGCTGCTGCTGCTCCAACAACTCCAGGAGAATGATCATTCAACAATATCCCAACAAGCTGCAACAAGATCAATCACGCTCAATGACAAAATCATTACTGGCATCTAAAACCCCTAAAACCGAGGACCTTAGACACGCAAGTCCTACCCAAACTTCTATCACTACAACATGAATGAATAGAAACCTGACAAAATATTTAAACTCTAGGGCTCATCTATATACATGACAGAGATCTATAAACTGCAGCACACAAACTGGAAAGGACATGCATGACTTGTAAGTTATAGCTACCATAATAATTGAGTATACCGACCTCTTCAATTGCAGGAGCATGTTCTTCTAGCTGCAAGTCATGCAACTTTGGAAGAGCATTTGCAGCACATTTTCGGACATAAACTGCAGGATCCCTTGCACACTTCCCCACAGCTGCAAGCACGAGAGGTGCAATTATATGTAAACGAATCCCCGCCATGGTACGGAGTGCCCAAGCCCTAACCAATGGATTTGGATCCCCCAAATCCTTCTGGAAATAGTTGATCGAGAGCAATGCTTCATTTGGACGCCTACATAAACAACGAAAACCAATATAAGAAACATATTCAACGTCAATTTCTTTCATAGAAAAGCTTTAAATGCTACTACTTTAAAATCAATAAGCATCCCCTAACTTGAACATAAGCGCACATCAACAACGTGGAGAAACGAATAAAAGAACAAGTGGTTGATTAAACGATTTCCTTTCACTTACTTTTCAGCATAATGCAGTAGATACAAGTATACTAGTTTCTTCACTTCCAATGACTGCGACGCCACATTCTTGACCACCTGCGAACACATATACAGAAATGTAAGGAAAATCGTACAGAAGACAAGCAGAAAATCTCCTACCCAGATTCCCAACACCCCCAGTAACGAGGTGAAAATTAAGAATCGAATACATTTTTGCGCAATAAGACATCAGCTGAAATCTCCCTTTTATAATTCGCAAGCCGATAGTCCAGACAATCCAATCATGATGACGACCCTAGATCTCCCTGATCTTATTCAACCAATATACAATCGCGTACACACATATCCATAAATGTACACATGAACTTGTAAGCAACATGGATCAAGGTAGAACCTGAGGAAAGAAATTGGAGACATCGAATCCTTGAGCGATGAGAGCGAGGACGCGCTTGAGAGCCTCGCACTTCTCGGAGTCGAACTTGCTGTCGAGAAGCGGAGCGATGCTGACGTCCTCGGGATCGTCATACAAATGAGCGTCGGTTCCGATCCGGAGAACCACCGCCGACGCCTTACTCAGCGTCTCCGCCGTGGCACCGAACTGATTAAACATCGGAAATTCCGATCAATCCCGATTCCGATATCCAGAAACTTAACAAGTAACAGAGATGAAGAAGAACCAAAGAGCTGAAAGAGAAGAGGTATGTTTGGATGACGGGATAATCTTGTGCAAAGCTGGGTTTAGCTAAAACCATATCGGGTTCAATCCTACACCGATTCAATTGGGTCGAATTAAAGTTAGCCCATTAGCCAAACTAAACCCAACCATACCTAGGCTAACAAAACCCTAGCCCAGGTAAAATTCGTAGATACATATATATATACACACACGCACATACCTCTGCTCGCCGTCTTCATCGATTCACCGAGCTCTGGTTTCTCTTCCTTTCTGTTTTCCCCTAAAAAAAATGAATTTTTTTTTGGGTACAATTCCCGCAAATTCAAGATCTTTACACTGAAGAACAATTTTTTTTTTCATGGGCAATGATTAGAAAGAGAGAGGATTGAGTGGGAACTAAACAAATCCCTCGGGGTGGAGAAAACCCTAATCGAAATCGAAGGAGAATTCTAAAAAATTTTCCCTTTTTCGAATTAGGGTTTTTACTCCTCCTTGCCCTCGATGAAGGTCCTTCCAATTTTTACACTTGATATGAGCCCTGAACCCAGATTTTTCTGTAACATCGTCAGATTTTGGTGGGGGGTTCTTTCCTACCCTGGTTCTGTTCAAAGAAAGCCTTGATGATAGGGGATGGAAATCACGGTTTCTTCCATACAATGTCTCTATGTTTCTTTACATGTTTTGTCTTTGGACGTTTCCTTGTCTGCGAGTGTGTAGACTGTTCCTGTGTTGAGCATTTTCAATTTGAATCTCACTGCCGTGAGAGATTCAATAAATAAATTGTCTAAAAGTAATGACAAATTGGCCATAAACGCTTGTTGAGAAGGTGGAAATGCTGTAACTGGAGAAGCCCAGAAACAAAGTTAGTGAACATATATGGTTTAATCCATTTAGATTTGTTCATGTTACAGAGAGAGAGAGAAGACAAGAAGCAAAAGAACTGAAAGAATGTCCCAAAGGACATTGCTATGTAACAATGGCGTGAGAAAGAGATGAATTAGAAGAACAAAGTTGTGTATTAAACATCAGCATTACAAACTCATGTATTCAGAGAGCTGCGGGCTGTTCAACAATAACTTCTCACAGCCACTTCAGCTCTTCACCCCATAACTCAAGAGCACAGTCAACCGCAGAGGAAAAACAGACAAAAAGACACGAACTTTAAAAAACTCTCTCTCTCTCTCCCCCCACTACCTTGGCAAAATAAAAGTAAAGCCGAAATTAACGGGGCGTCTTTCTTGGGCTCCGTTTCATCAATTTTTTAAACTTTGTTCCCACACTTTCTCGATCTTCTCAAATCAGACCCTGAAATTCTTCCCGACAAAAGTTTGACCAAACTGCCAGTGAGAGGGAACAATGTTCCAGGAGGTGGATGATCTACGGTCACTGCCGGTGACACGGAACGACAGTGACTGACCAGCCAGAACGGCGTTAGACTGCCAGTTCTGCCCCCAGTTCCTGCTCATGCTCATCCACCCTGTCTTCGACCCCTTCACGCTCGCTCTCACTATGTCCCCGGCTCCCGCAACGTTCGTTATCAGCACCAGGTTGAAGTAACGGTGACCGTTTATCGTGAACCTTATCCCTCCTCTCTTCCTACACGGAACCCTACACG